ATTATTCTCAGATTTGAAGCCGAAATCTATGAAAAAAGGCACTCAGAAAAATTGAAAAATTGATAAATCACCCCAAATTTCTTAACGCGATTTTATCTCAGGAACTATAAGTGCAAATGAGCTGAAATTTTCAGGGATTGTAGTCCTTTGAAAAAGATAAAATTCAGTGAAAGATTCAGCTTTCTATCTATAATAGAAAAAAAGTTATGATCTCTCAAAGTTTTACAAAATCTAAATCATAAGGTAGGTACCTTCTTACTAAAACGATGAAATTTCAAAATTTTTTTTATCGAGATTTTGTATCCTAATGGTCAATCAACATACCCCAAACTCCATACACAACATTATTCTCAGATTTGAAGCCGAAATCTATGAAAAAAGGCACTCAGAAAAATTGAAAAATTGATAAATCACCCCAAATTTCTTAACGCGATTTTATCTCAGGAACTATAAGTGCAAATGAGCTGAAATTTTCAGGGATTGTAGTCCTTTGAAAACGATAAAATTCAGTGAAAGATTCAGCTTTCTATCTATAATAGAAAAAAAGTTATGATCTCTCAAAGTTTTACAAAATCTAAATCATAAGGTAGGTACCTTCTTCCTAAAACGATGAAATTTGAAAATTTTTTTTATCGAGATTTTGTATCCTAATGGTCAATCAACATACCCCAAACTCCATACACAACATTATTCTCAGATTTGAAGCCGAAATCTATGAAAAAAGGCACTCAGAAAAATTGAAAAATTGATAAATCACCCCAAATTTCTTAACGCGATTTTATCTCAGGAACTATAAGTGCAAATGAGCTGAAATTTTCAGGGATTGTAGTCCTTTGAAAAAGATAAAATTCAGTGAAAGATTCAGCTTTCTATCTATAATAGAAAAAAAGTTATGATCTCTCAAAGTTTTACAAAATCTAAATCATAAGGTAGGTACCTTCTTACTAAAACGATGAAATTTCAAAATTTTTTTTATCGAGATTTTGTATCCTAATGGTCAATCAACATACCCCAAACTCCATACACAACATTATTCTCAGATTTGAAGCCGAAATCTATGAAAAAAGGCACTCAGAAAAATTGAAAAATTGATAAATCACCCCAAATTTCTTAACGCGATTTTATCTCAGGAACTATAAGTGCAAATGAGCTGAAATTTTCAGGGATTGTAGTCCTTTGAAAAAGATAAAATTCAGTGAAAGATTCAGCTTTCTATCTATAATAGAAAAAAAGTTATGATCTCTCAAAGTTTTACAAAATCTAAATCATAAGGTAGGTACCTTCTTCCTAAAACGATGAAATTTCAAAATTTTTTTTATCGAGATTTTGTATCCTAATGGTCAATCAACATACCCCAAACTCCATACACAACATTATTCTCAGATTTGAAGCCGAAATCTATGAAAAAAGGCACTCAGAAAAATTGAAAAATTGATAAATCACCCCAAATTTCTTAACGCGATTTTATCTCAGGAACTATAAGTGCAAATGAGCTGAAATTTTCAGGGATTGTAGTCCTTTGAAAACGATAAAATTCAGTGAAAGATTCAGCTTTCTATCTATAATAGAAAAAAAGTTATGATCTCTCAAAGTTTTACAAAATCTAAATCATAAGGTAGGTACCTTCTTACTAAAACGATGAAATTTCAAAATTTTTTTTATCGAGATTTTGTATCCTAATGGTCAATCAACATACCCCAAACTCCATACACAACATTATTCTCAGATTTGAAGCCGAAATCTATGAAAAAAGGCACTCAGAAAAATTGAAAAATTGATAAATCACCCCAAATTTCTTAACGCGATTTTATCTCAGGAACTATAAGTGCAAATGAGCTGAAATTTTCAGGGATTGTAGTCCTTTGAAAAAGATAAAATTCAGTGAAAGATTCAGCTTTCTATCTATAATAGAAAAAAAGTTATGATCTCTCAAAGTTTTACAAAATCTAAATCATAAGGTAGGTACCTTCTTACTAAAACGATGAAATTTCAAAATTTTTTTTATCGAGATTTTGTATCCTAATGGTCAATCAACATACCCCAAACTCCATACACAACATTATTCTCAGATTTGAAGCCGAAATCTATGAAAAAAGGCACTCAGAAAAATTGAAAAATTGATAAATCACCCCAAATTTCTTAACGCGATTTTATCTCAGGAACTATAAGTGCAAATGAGCTGAAATTTTCAGGGATTGTAGTCCTTTGAAAAAGATAAAATTCAGTGAAAGATTCAGCTTTCTATCTATAATAGAAAAAAAGTTATGATCTCTCAAAGTTTTACAAAATCTAAATCATAAGGTAGGTACCTTCTTACTAAAACGATGAAATTTCAAAATTTTTTTTATCGAGATTTTGTATCCTAATGGTCAATCAACATACCCCAAACTCCATACACAACATTATTCTCAGATTTGAAGCCGAAATCTATGAAAAAAGGCACTCAGAAAAATTGAAAAATTGATAAATCACCCCAAATTTCTTAACGCGATTTTATCTCAGGAACTATAAGTGCAAATGAGCTGAAATTTTCAGGGATTGTAGTCCTTTGAAAAAGATAAAATTCAGTGAAAGATTCAGCTTTCTATCTATAATAGAAAAAAAGTTATGATCTCTCAAAGTTTTACAAAATCTAAATCATAAGGTAGGTACCTTCTTACTAAAACGATGAAATTTCAAAATTTTTTTTATCGAGATTTTGTATCCTAATGGTCAATCAACATACCCCAAACTCCATACACAACATTATTCTCAGATTTGAAGCCGAAATCTATGAAAAAAGGCACTCAGAAAAATTGAAAAATTGATAAATCACCCCAAATTTCTTAACGCGATTTTATCTCAGGAACTATAAGTGCAAATGAGCTGAAATTTTCAGGGATTGTAGTCCTTTGAAAAAGATAAAATTCAGTGAAAGATTCAGCTTTCTATCTATAATAGAAAAAAAGTTATGATCTCTCAAAGTTTTACAAAATCTAAATCATAAGGTAGGTACCTTCTTACTAAAACGATGAAATTTCAAAATTTTTTTTATCGAGATTTTGTATCCTAATGGTCAATCAACATACCCCAAACTCCATACACAACATTATTCTCAGATTTGAAGCCGAAATCTATGAAAAAAGGCACTCAGAAAAATTGAAAAATTGATAAATCACCCCAAATTTCTTAACGCGATTTTATCTCAGGAACTATAAGTGCAAATGAGCTGAAATTTTCAGGGATTGTAGTCCTTTGAAAACGATAAAATTCAGTGAAAGATTCAGCTTTCTATCTATAATAGAAAAAAAGTTATGATCTCTCAAAGTTTTACAAAATCTAAATCATAAGGTAGGTACCTTCTTACTAAAACGATGAAATTTCAAAATTTTTTTTATCGAGATTTTGTATCCTAATGGTCAATCAACATACCCCAAACTCCATACACAACATTATTCTCAGATTTGAAGCCGAAATCTATGAAAAAAGGCACTCAGAAAAATTGAAAAATTGATAAATCACCCCAAATTTCTTAACGCGATTTTATCTCAGGAACTATAAGTGCAAATGAGCTGAAATTTTCAGGGATTGTAGTCCTTTGAAAACGATAAAATTCAGTGAAAGATTCAGCTTTCTATCTATAATAGAAAAAAAGTTATGATCTCTCAAAGTTTTACAAAATCTAAATCATAAGGTAGGTACCTTCTTACTAAAACGATGAAATTTCAAAATTTTTTTTATCGAGATTTTGTATCCTAATGGTCAATCAACATACCCCAAACTCCATACACAACATTATTCTCAGATTTGAAGCCGAAATCTATGAAAAAAGGCACTCAGAAAAATTGAAAAATTGATAAATCACCCCAAATTTCTTAACGCGATTTTATCTCAGGAACTATAAGTGCAAATGAGCTGAAATTTTCAGGGATTGTAGTCCTTTGAAAACGATAAAATTCAGTGAAAGATTCAGCTTTCTATCTATAATAGAAAAAAAGTTATGATCTCTCAAAGTTTTACAAAATCTAAATCATAAGGTAGGTACCTTCTTACTAAAACGATGAAATTTCAAAATTTTTTTTATCGAGATTTTGTATCCTAATGGTCAATCAACATACCCCAAACTCCATACACAACATTATTCTCAGATTTGAAGCCGAAATCTATGAAAAAAGGCACTCAGAAAAATTGAAAAATTGATAAATCACCCCAAATTTCTTAACGCGATTTTATCTCAGGAACTATAAGTGCAAATGAGCTGAAATTTTCAGGGATTGTAGTCCTTTGAAAAAGATAAAATTCAGTGAAAGATTCAGCTTTCTATCTATAATAGAAAAAAAGTTATGATCTCTCAAAGTTTTACAAAATCTAAATCATAAGGTAGGTACCTTCTTACTAAAACGATGAAATTTCAAAATTTTTTTTATCGAGATTTTGTATCCTAATGGTCAATCAACATACCCCAAACTCCATACACAACATTATTCTCAGATTTGAAGCCGAAATCTATGAAAAAAGGCACTCAGAAAAATTGAAAAATTGATAAATCACCCCAAATTTCTTAACGCGATTTTATCTCAGGAACTATAAGTGCAAATGAGCTGAAATTTTCAGGGATTGTAGTCCTTTGAAAACGATAAAATTCAGTGAAAGATTCAGCTTTCTATCTATAATAGAAAAAAAGTTATGATCTCTCAAAGTTTTACAAAATCTAAATCATAAGGTGTAGAGATTTTGTGTCCTAATGGTCATTTGGGATCCCACAATCTCCATAAACTAAATTATTCTCAGATTGGAAGCTGGAATCTATGGAAAAGGGCACTCAGAATATTGAGAAATTTCTGGAACTCCGGGAATAGTTCAAATTTTGATTATTTTCAGCTCTTGATTTGTTGACAGGAATAGCTCCTAATGTATGAATTTGTTGAATTCAGAATTCCTTGTATAAAATAACCTTTTGATATAGCTACTCTATAATATAAATTGAAACTGGATCCTGATACAGAAATCAATTCATTTACCTTGCATAATACAGGTTTATACTTGCTCCGTTTCCTGACACTTTTAGGACTAATCCTGGCAGCCAACCTAGACGCGCTCGCAGCTGTTTTAAAGCCAAACCTTCTCTTATACTCTTGTCCTGGACTTTTATCCGAATTATATCCGGATTGAGGATTACTGCTGTCCTCGTCCGGTACACTAATGGTGGATTTATAAATAATCATCATTAGTTTTATATGGAGAGGGTTTACTTACGTTGAAACTTTTTTGGATTCGGTAATCATTCGCTCCACTGAGGCGAAATATTTGGTCCACCAATCTTTGCTGTCTTGTTCGTCTTCGAAGTCTTCTTCAATACTGGCTTTACGTTTGTCGATTTTGGCTTTTTTACTAGATATTTGAGTACCATATCCTATAATAAAGAAACACATAAATTAAATAATATTTTATCCATTATAATTAACTACCAATTGAAGGAGAAACATCTTTTGGCAACAAAGGACTTTTCTCTTTTTCACCTGAAATGCTACTTATTTGATTGCTAATCAAATGGCCATCAGTTATTTTAAGTTGATTTAAGGATTTTTTGCGTTCTTCAGCTTCCCGTTCCTTTTTACTCATTGTTGAAAACATGTATTTGTGAATTGAGTTGATAATGTGGGTACCCACTAAAGTATACCTTCCAAAGCTGCGACAATCTACTGCCCTTATTGTTAAAGGAGGTCTATATAATTCCTGCTCAGGCAAATCAAGCTCGAGGAATTTAACAGGAGTAGAAAAATTAGGATTCTTTTTAGAATTTGGTATAATACTGGAATACAAAATATGCCCTGCGCATTCAATGTCAACTCTTGGTTTATCCACAGTGAGTAAATGTATCCGTTTCAAATCTCTGAGGCCCCAAAAAAGTACTTCGATACGGTATCGAGCCAATGTAGGTCTTATACCACGTGGTACTGGCAATAAAGTACCAATATCTTTTGTATCAGTATCCTAAAATAATGTTTTAATAACTTTTATAAACATTTTATATAAGTTACTTTATAAATTGGTATATCTTTTGGTTGAGGTAGCAAAGGTAACGAGCCATCAACAGGAATCTCCAAAAGCTCAAAAGCTGCTAGAAGCTCCCCAGCATGATCAACCCCTCTAGTAATAGTAAACCATTCCAATGAAGGCGGAAATAACGGTTTCACATAAGAATCTTCTCTAAGTTTAACATGAGGCTTTGCAATGGCTCTGCCAATAAATTCCGACTTTCCAACCTTATCTTGATCAAAAATCTCAATAATAATCGACATTGGATCTTGTTTGATTTCATCAGAAGCCCCAAACAGTAAGATTTCATCAAAAATCAACAATTCATCCCAAGTTGGACTTAAAGTTTCATCAATCACTTGAGTTGTTCTACAAAATTCTCCAGCAATTATTTTGGCAAATGGATCTGATAGGCCAGAAGCATCACTGCCTATTAGTGATCTTGCTTGGTAGATGTGGGCTCTAAGCTGGAAAACCTATAATACAACAATAATAATGTATGCATTCAATAATAAAAATAATACATAAATTCTTACATGTTTTTCAACGTAATGTATTATTGCAGGAGGCAAGGCCCTAGGCCTTTCAACATTTCTAATTTCCTGCGAAATTTCGTAGCCCCTAGGAATGCCCGAGATGAAATGCTTTTTGTGTTTGAGCATGCCTAGCCAGAAATACATTTGCAATCGGGCTGGTATTGTCCAGCCGCTTGGTCCTGTACCCTTTTTACCTGGAAGCTAAAGAATTGTCTGCATAATAATTTGTTATAATAATAAAGTTATTACTTTCAAAAATATTGTTCTAGATCTGCCACAATCTTTGCCTCTTTCCTCGTCCACTATGGAATAGATTACATCTCTGGCTGGTATTCGCTGGTAAGCTTGGCGTTTTCCACCGCAAATGATCCACAAAAATATGTCCGGAAGGGAATGTTGAGGCTACAAAACTGTAATATTTGTCCAAAAAAAAATAAACAAGAAATACTTACATCTTCAGTTAAAAACTTCAACTTGCTCAAATAGGATTGTGCAGTTTTGTAACGTTCCTTAAATGAGTTTTTAGTCACAAGGGCTTTTAAGTTTCTAGAATTATTGCCAATATGTTCCTATAAGAAAAAGCATTAAAATTGCAAAGGAATTGGAATTATTTCTTACGATTTCCCTTTGGCACAATTTCAATCGTTCCTTGTCCAGTTTCGTTTTTCCAGTGCCTGGTCCAGTTATTGAAGCTTTAGAAATCGTCACGTATTTGCCACAAGAAGCTGATAAATCTTCTAAAACTTGCTTTAATTTGGTTTCAGCTTCACTGTCTTCAACTTCAATTGCTGAGCTGACTTCTTCTAAGCCATCTTCCTATAATATATTGTTATATAATATTGAAATTTATATAATAACAATTCTTACTAATTTTTCCGCAATTTTTCCAATCATGTTGGAATTGTACAATCTGCGTCGATAATCAGGCCATACAGATCTAATGTGCATGCAAGGCTTGTTATCCCAATAAGGTAAGAAATAGTAAAATTTGTCGTGGGTCATTGGTTTTGTAGGACTTGTGGTACTTTGCCAGGAAGCCGTATCAGACGTGACAGTTTCTAAAATAATTTTTAACACATTGAAGCCTATTCAAACTCCACTTACCTAATTCATCACTATCCGAATCGTAATGCTCCTTGGTAGAAGTGTTATGACCATCAATAGCATTGCCAGCATTACCGAGGCTCACCTCAAAGTACACAGGCTTATCGCCCAACTTTTTATCAATCATTGAAGCATCCAGAATAGTAGTAAACAAAAAAAACTCTTCACTTTTGGCATAGGATTCTTCATTAATAGGCATAGTGGCTTCCAATTCCACTGCTGCAGGTGACAAATCGATATTGTCAGTAATTTCAGTTCTTATTGAAATCAGCAACCTTGCACGATAAGATACTCCTATGGATTGAAACTTTTATTAATTCAAACAAATATTGAATAATTACCTTCTCCTAATCCAGTATTAAGACTAGAATGTTCATCGATGATGCTGTAATCCCGTGTAGAACCGTAAAGGTGGATAAAGCTGGGGCCAAATGTTGGTAAAAATCCTGCAATCAATTTTCAATAATTAATAATTACAAGAAAATGCTTATTGAATCTGACCTGATCTCACCCTTCTCTCCGTCGTTCGAAATAGTCTTTAAATCCACAAAATGCGTCCCAATCACTGTGGGCTTTACTGGATCGTTGTCTCTTAGTTGAATTTTAATTCTCTGGCACAAAGGAGGAAACATTTCAGTGAAAACCAGTTGCTCGTTCCAAACTGGTGCATAGTTATGCTTTTTTACACTAGTTTTACCCTATGAAAATTTAATTATTAATAATAATTATTAAAACAATTTAAGTGTATTACAGTTAATCCAGCAAAAGAAACTTGTACATAAGGATCCACCAAGTCATTGAGTTCTCCTGTGAAGGCTTTCTTAACATTGGCCATCAAAGAAGAGTTCATTTTAGGCAAACCATCAGCCCTGTAAATCTTGACAACAAATTGCGCCCTTTGTCTATCAGTTGGCACACCATCGGGCAACAATAAATTCGCCTCAATATCGTCTTCATCTTTTTCACTTTTCGATGGTACTTTAACGGTGTCGCCTTTACCGATTACGCTTATGTCGCATTTCAAGTAGCCCTTGGGCCCTCCTGCTATGTCATCTGGATCAGTGAGAAGGGCCCATTTGTGATAGAATTGATGATCTGGAAGTTATTCAATGAATCAACAGGAAATATGTAAGAGTTTTGAAGCAAACATGCAACTAAAATAGACAATCAGAAAGCTCGAGAGTTTGGTGCCTAATTTAGGGGTTAATTTTCAGGCTCAGGAACCTTATGATGCTTACGATAACTTAGATTAGTTCTGACTATTCTGAGCAACTTTCCATTGTCATTAAATGTTAACTGTATATTTTCCACTGAAAACATGTTAAAGGTAATAAGGGGATTTGCGGCAAAAGTGTTTAAATCTCATAAAGAATGTGGTTAAATTTGAATAAATCGCAAAACCACTGCATCAATTTTCTCTTTCGGAAATCCAGGCTTCATTTCAAATTACTCCAGAGACAATTTTGGTTTTTCCAGAAGGGAAATTTATCGCTCAAACATTCCAGAGGATAATAATGGAAAAAATTTCGTTCGTTCTGGCTGGATAAATGAGTTCCAGCTGAACTTATATAGGTATTGGAACTGGAACTGATCAATCTATACAATATAGTGGTTGGAAAACATTGCATTATAAGGATTATTGGGATTGTACCTTATTCAGCCTATAATAAAACAAGTAAATTTAAAGTTCTTGGCTCAGTTTATAGAGAATAGAGAATTGAAAGCCCTTTTAAATACATTATACATGAATGAAATCATTTTGCTGGAAAATTCTCAAATACTTTATCGAAATATGAGGGCACGTATCATGTAAAATTGCTTTCTGCTCGGTTTTCCAGAAAATGAACTTTCCATTTTGTGCCAGCGCGGAACTTTTGGAAAAGCAATTTATCATTATCATTTCAGAGGTTATAATGTATCTGTTCCTGTTTCATCTTGTGAGTCTTTCAATAATTCTGATTCAGATTCAATTGACACGAGTCAAATGTAATTATTTTGACAGTTATTTGTCCATTTTCCTAGAATAAAAATCGTAGCTCTTGAATAAGGCAATTTTTGACTAATGGCAAAGTTGAATTTGACAGTTGGATGTCTAATGAGCTTGTAAAAAAATTGACACCACTCAAATGTAATTATTTTGACAGTTACTGTACATTCAGATTGAAATTTGTATCATTTTCATAGAATAAAAATCGTAACTCTTGAATGAGGCAATTTTTGACTTATGGCAAAGTTGAATTTGACAGTTGGATGTCTAATGAGCTTGTAAAAAAATTGACACCAGTCAAATGTAATTATTTTGACAGTTACTGTACATTCAGATTGAAATTTGTATCATTTTCATAGAATAAAAATCGTAACTCTTGAATGAGGCAATTTTTGACTTATGGCAAAGTTGAATTTGACAGTTGGATGTCTAATGAGCTTGTAAAAAAATTGACACCAATCAAATGTAATTATTTTGACAGTTACTGTACATTCAGATTGAAATTTGTATCATTTTCATAGAATAAAAATCGTAACTCTTGAATGAGGCAATTTTTGACTTATGGCAAAGTTGAATTTGACAGTTGGATGTCTAATGAGCTTGTAAAAAAATTGACACCAATCAAATGTAATTATTTTGACAGTTACTGTACATTCAGATTGAAATTTGTATCATTTTCATAGAATAAAAATCGTAACTCTTGAATGAGGCAATTTTTGACTTATGGCAAAGTTGAATTTGACAGTTGGATGTCTAATGAGCTTGTAAAAAAATTGACACCAATCAAATGTAATTATTTTGACAGTTACTGTACATTCAGATTGAAATTTGTATCATTTTCATAGAATAAAAATCGTAACTCTTGAATGAGGCAATTTTTGACTTATGGCAAAGTTGAATTTGACAGTTGGATGTCTAATGAGCTTGTAAAAAAATTGACACCAGTCAAATGTAATTATTTTGACAGTTACTGTACATTCAGATTGAAATTTGTATCATTTTCATAGAATAAAAATCGTAACTCTTGAATGAGGCAATTTTTGACTTATGGCAAAGTTGAATTTGACAGTTGGATGTCTAATGAGCTTGTAAAAAAATTGACACCAATCAAATGTAATTATTTTGACAGTTACTGTACATTCAGATTGAAATTTGTATCATTTTCATAGAATAAAAATCGTAACTCTTGAATGAGGCAATTTTTGACTTATGGCAAAGTTGAATTTGACAGTTGGATGTCTAATGAGCTTGTAAAAAAATTGACACCAGTCAAATGTAATTATTTTGACAGTTACTGTCCATTGAGATCGAAATTTGTGTCATTTTCCTAGAATAAAAATCGTAGCTCTTGAATAGGGCATTCTTAGACTGATGTCAAACTTGAATTGGACAGTTAGATGTCTAATGAGCTTGTAAAAAAATTGACACTACTCAAATGTAATTATTTTCACAGTTACTGTCCATTGAGATTGAAATTTGTGTCATTTTCGTGAAATAAAAAACGTAACTCTTGAATGAGGCAATTTTTGACTGATGTCAAACTTGAATTTGATAGTTGAATGTCTAATGAGCTTGTAAAAAAATTGACACCAGTCAAATGTAATTATTTTGACAGTTACTGTTCAGTGGGATCAAAATTTGTGTTATTTTCCTAGAATAAAAATCGTAGCTCTTGAATAAGGCAATCTTAGACTGATGTTAAACTTGAATTTGACAGTAAGATGTCTAATGAGCTTGAAAAAAAATTGACACCAGTCAAATGTAATTATTTTGAAAGTTACTGTTTATGATTGAAATTTGTGTCATTTCCTTAGAAAAAAAATTGTAAGTCTTGAATGAGGCAATTTTCGACTGATGTCAAACTTGAATTTGACAGTTGAATGTCTAATGAGCTTGTAAAAAAATTGACACCAGTCAAATGTAATTATTTTGACAGTTACTGTCCATTGAGATCGAAATTTGTGTCATTTTCCTAGAATAAAAATCGTAGCTCTTGAATAGGGCATTCTTAGACTGATGTCAAATTCAAGTTTGACAGTAAGATGTCAAATGAGCTTGTAAAAAAATTGACACCAGTCAAATGTAATTATTTTGACAGTTACTGTCCATTGAGATCGAAATTTGTGTCATTTTCCTAGAATAAAAATCGTAGCTCTTGAATAGGGCATTCTTAGACTGATGTCAAACTTGAATTGGACAGTTAGATGTCTAATGAGCTTGTAAAAAAATTGACACTACTCAAATGTAATTATTTTCACAGTTACTGTCCATTGAGATTGAAATTTGTGTCATTTTCGTGAAATAAAAAACGTAACTCTTGAATGAGGCAATTTTTGACTGATGTCAAACTTGAATTTGATAGTTGAATGTCTAATGAGCTTGTAAAAAAATTGACACCAGTCAAATGTAATTATTTTGACAGTTACTGTTCAGTGGGATCAAAATTTGTGTTATTTTCCTAGAATAAAAATCGTAGCTCTTGAATAAGGCAATCTTAGACTGATGTTAAACTTGAATTTGACAGTAAGATGTCTAATGAGCTTGAAAAAAAATTGACACCAGTCAAATGTAATTATTTTGAAAGTTACTGTTTATGATTGAAATTTGTGTCATTTCCTTAGAAAAAAAATTGTAAGTCTTGAATGAGGCAATTTTCGACTGATGTCAAACTTGAATTTGACAGTTGAATGTCTAATGAGCTTGTAAAAAAATTGACACCAGTCAAATGTAATTATTTTGACAGTTACTGTCCATTGAGATCGAAATTTGTGTCATTTTCCTAGAATAAAAATCGTAGCTCTTGAATAGGGCATTCTTAGACTGATGTCAAATTCAAGTTTGACAGTAAGATGTCAAATGAGCTTGTAAAAAAATTGACACCAGTCAAATGTAATTATTTTGACAGTTACTGTCCATTGAGATCGAAATTTGTGTCATTTTCCTAGAATAAAAATCGTAGCTCTTGAATAGGGCATTCTTAGACTGATGTCAAACTTGAATTGGACAGTTAGATGTCTAATGAGCTTGTAAAAAAATTGACACCAGTCAAATGTAATTATTTTGACAGTTACTGTCCATTGAGATCGAAATTTGTGTCATTTTTCTAGAATAAAAATCGTAGCTCTTGAATAGGGCATTCTTAGACTGATGTCAAACTTGAATTGGACAGTTAGATGTCTAATGAGCTTGTAAAAAAATTGACACCAGTCAAATGTAATTATTTTGACAGTTACTGTCCATTGAGATCGAAATTTGTGTCATTTTCCTAGAATAAAAATCGTAGCTCTTGAATAGGGCATTCTTAGACTGATGTCAAACTTGAATTGGACAGTTAGATGTCTAATGAGCTTGTAAAAAAATTGACACCAGTCAAATGTAATTATTTTGACAGTTACTGTCCATTGAGATCGAAATTTGTGTCATTTTTCTAGAATAAAAATCGTAGCTCTTGAATAGGGCATTCTTAGACTGATGTCAAACTTGAATTGGACAGTTAGATGTCTAATGAGCTTGTAAAAAAATTGACACCAGTCAAATGTAATTATTTTGACAGTTACTGTCCATTGAGATCGAAATTTGTGTCATTTTCCTAGAATAAAAATCGTAGCTCTTGAATAGGGCATTCTTAGACTGATGTCAAACTTGAATTGGACAGTTAGATGTCTAATGAGCTTGTAAAAAAATTTACACCAGTCAAATGTAATTATTTTGACAGTTACTGTCCATTGAGATCGAAATTTGTGTCATTTTTCTAGAATAAAAATCGTAGCTCTTGAATAGGGCATTCTTAGACTGATGTCAAACTTGAATTGGACAGTTAGATGTCTAATGAGCTTGTAAAAAAATTGACACCAGTCAAATGTAATTATTTTGACAGTTACTGTCCATTGAGATCGAAATTTGTGTCATTTTCCTAGAATAAAAATCGTAGCTCTTGAATAGGGCATTCTTAGACTGATGTCAAACTTGAATTGGACAGTTAGATGTCTAATGAGCTTGTAAAAAAATTGACACCAGTCAAATGTAATTATTTTGACAGTTACTGTTCAGTGGGATCAAAATTTGTGTTATTTTCCTAGAATAAAAATCGTAGCTCTTGAATAAGGCAATCTTAGACTGATGTTAAACTTGAATTTGACAGTAAGATGTCTAATGAGCTTGAAAAAAAATTGACACCAGTCAAATGTAATTATTTTGAAAGTTACTGTTTATGATTGAAATTTGTGTCATTTCCTTAGAAAAAAAATTGTAAGTCTTGAATGAGGCAATTTTCGACTGATGTCAAACTTGAATTTGACAGTTGAATGTCTAATGAGCTTGTAAAAAAATTGACACCAGTCAAATGTAATTATTTTGACAGTTACTGTCCATTGAGATCGAAATTTGTGTCATTTTCCTAGAATAAAAATCGTAGCTCTTGAATAGGGCATTCTTAGACTGATGTCAAATTCAAGTTTGACAGTAAGATGTCAAATGAGCTTGTAAAAAAATTGACACCAGTCAAATGTAATTATTTTGACAGTTACTGTCCATTGAGATCGAAATTTGTGTCATTTTCCTAGAATAAAAATCGTAGCTCTTGAATAGGGCATTCTTAGACTGATGTCAAACTTGAATTGGACAGTTAGATGTCTAATGAGCTTGTAAAAAAATTGACACCAGTCAAATGTAATTATTTTGACAGTTACTGTCCATTGAGATCGAAATTTGTGTCATTTTTCTAGAATAAAAATCGTAGCTCTTGAATAGGGCATTCTTAGACTGATGTCAAACTTGAATTGGACAGTTAGATGTCTAATGAGCTTGTAAAAAAATTGACATCAGGCAAATGTAATTATTTTGACATATCCATTGAAATTGAAACTTGTGTCATTCTCGTAGAATAAAAATTGTAGCTCTTGAATGAGACAATTTTCGACTGATGTCATACTTAAATTTGACAGTAGGATGTCTAATGAACTTGTAAAAAAATTGACACCAGTCAAATGTAATTATTTTGACAGTTACTGTCCATTGAGATCGAAATTTGTGTCATTTTCCTAGAATAAAAATCGTAGCTCTTGAATAGGGCATTCTTAGACTGATGTCAAACTTGAATTGGACAGTTAGATGTCTAATGAGCTTGTAAAAAAATTGACATCAGGCAAATGTAATTATTTTGACAGTTACTGTCCATTGAGATCGAAATTTGTGTCATTTTCCTAGAATAAAAATCGTAGCTCTTGAATAGGGCATTCTTAGACTGATGTCAAACTTGAATTGGACAGTTAGATGTCTAATGAGCTTGTAAAAAAATTGACACCAGTCAAATGTAATTATTTTGACAGTTACTGTCCATTGAGATCGAAATTTGTGTCATTTTTCTAGAATAAAAATCGTAGCTCTTGAATAGGGCATTCTTAGACTGATGTCAAACTTGAATTGGACAGTTAGATGTCTAATGAGCTTGTAAAAAAATTTACACCAGTCAAATGTAATTATTTTGACAGTTACTGTCCATTGAGATCGAAATTTGTGTCATTTTTCTAGAATAAAAATCGTAGCTCTTGAATAGGGCATTCTTAGACTGATGTCAAACTTGAATTGGACAGTTAGATGTCTAATGAGCTTGTAAAAAAATTGACATCAGGCAAATGTAATTATTTTGACATATCCATTGAAATTGAAACTTGTGTCATTCTCGTAGAATAAAAATTGTAGCTCTTGAATGAGACAATTTTCGACTGATGTCATACTTAAATTTGACAGTAGGATGTCTAATGAACTTGTAAAAAAATTGACACCAGTCAAATGTAATTATTTTGACAGTTACTGTCCACTGAGATCAAAATTTGTGTCATTCTCGTAGAATAAAAATTGTAACTCTTGAATGAGGCAATTTTTGACCGATGTCAAACTTAAATTTAACAGTAAGATGTCTGATGAGCTTGTAAAAAAATTGACACCAGTCAAATGTAATTATTTTGACAGTTACTGACCATTGAAAATATTAATGTCCTATTCCAAGAATAAAAATCCTGACTCTTGAATCAGACAATCTTCGACTGATGTCAAACTTGAATTTGACAGTAATGGGCTTGTAAAAAAAATGACACCAGTCAATTGCAATTATTTTGAAAGTGAATGAAAGAAAGCTGTATAATAGAGGCATGCAAAAGAGTGAGCAGGCACTACGGCTTTTCAAAAAAAAAAAATAAGCAAAGGTGGTACTTAGCTAAGTACCTGGCTGAGCCCACACCGTTGCCACGTCTAGCTTAAAGTTGCCCAGCATTTTGTTGCCACGCAGAAAATTACGAGACTGCAGTACCTGCCGAAGAATAAAGAAACAATTAATTACATATTTGTAATTAAATGTTTATATACAAGGGTGAAGAAATAAGATGCAAGAAATATCGAAAATTATATACCGGGTGCGTCATAAACTGTTTTAACATCGATTTTAAATTTTCCCATTATAATGCCTCGTTGTATAAGCGGCATTCTTTTAGAGTGTTGCACCTGGAAGAATTATTGAAAACAAGGGAAAATGGGGCTTCATTCCTGCAAATAAAATTATAATAAAATGCTCGTCACTTACCGAAAGATGAATTATTTTGTCGAATAGCATTATTGGAGGCATGTGAAAGTCGAAGACAAAATACTAAAACAACAAGAAACTTGCTTTACTTAATATAATTGGAAACTTCTGGCACAGAATACAAAATTCATATTTAAATAAAACTTACCTCATTATAATAAGGACAGTTGGTGCTTTCCTTAACGCTGGTATACTTTTTTTGGTCGCCAATTTGAATACAAACCACTGGATCCATATTGAGCCCGGCCAATTGACGAGCCTCAATTATCGTCAGGCAAACTTGGAAGTCTTGAGCTTTGAGGGCAGGATCGGAAGTCGATTGACTGCTTTTCAATTCTTTCAACCTAAGAATTTCCTATTTATAATAATAATTGAGTTTTAGCGTGAAATTCCTTACTTTGAGCTGCGTGTTTTTTCCAATAAGGACAAGGAATTTTCGCCGTTTGAATCAATAGAAGTATCGCTTCCGGCTCTGGAAATTGGAGCGGAATCGATGTCTGAGTTTTTGGAATTTCTTCCAGAGTCTCTTATTAAATAGGAGGTTTCGTCTTCGGTGTCGCTATCCTTTGGCGGTCTTTGTTTTCCGAATCTCATCAAACTTCTAACGCTTTTCAGTGTGGATCTTTTTCTGTCTATGATGGTTTTTTCGGGTGTACTTAAGCCTCGTTTGAAGGTTTTAAATCTAGAAACGCTACTTTGCTCGGTAAGTAGGGTTTTTTCGATATTTGCTATGTTTTGTTCGATGTCGACTAACATTTGTTGATCGTCTTCCAGCATGTTGTCGATAGCCGAGTTGCCGGTGAATGATGCTAAAGAGGCTTCAGGTAATGAGTAGATTATGCTTAATTCGATTGTAGCCTGAAAAGGGGTTAAATCTAATTTAATACATAATTCAATAATTGAAGGCTTATTTAATATACTAATTTGATGGGAAGTTTTGAAACTTTTAAAGTAGAAAGAGGAAGGAAAGGAGCTCATCATACTAAAGTTTCAAACTTTTCCAGTGAAAAATAACCAAACGGGAAATTATCCCTCTTGGAAAACTATTCAAGGGAAAATTATGAAATTGTTAGGACAGAGAGAGGAGGTTAAGGAGCTATCATCAAGTACAAAAATTGTATAAACTCTAATGGCAACCCCTCTTTAATGGCCCTTAATTAAGACAACACCTTTTAGTTAATTAAAGGGCTACGACATTCAGAAAACAAGAATTTCCCTTTCTATATATTTTTGTATGATGTAGAGTCACTTGCAAATAAGGGTCCCACATCGAATTAAAATGAAAATCTATATTGCTGTAATAAATAATTAACGTTTTAATTAAAATTGAGTTTGTTATGTCAATGAAAAATTACAAATTCGAGTAATTAAACCCAGCCAACTCAAACATTAATTTAATATTTATAGCCTGAAACAGCTTTGAGGTTTATAAGGCTTGGATTTCTGACTAAACAAGTTATCTCACCTCCAAAGTTTTATTATTGCCATCAACCAAATTGTCGCAAACATTAACCCGACCATTTTGCACCACTTGCTGAAGTACCATCCGATAAAACCCAATCAATTTATCAGCAAAAAGTCTATTTCTTGTATAAAGTTCCACCATTATAGTTTCGTCTTCTTGTACCGGCCTGGCTATTGGCCAATCGAATCTCTGGAATGAAAATTTTGATTAAACGTCAAATGAAAAGTCATTAAATGGAAATACAAAGAGTCCAAATAGTCTTGACCTTCCTTAATACCCTAACCGTTTTAGCTTCAATACTAAAAGTATGCCTAAGTTTCTATATAATGTTTGGAATCCCATTGTTTTGGTATGGCCTGGCCTCTTTGCTCCTAAGCATTTTGGCCACAATAGTTTCCAGCTTACTGTTTCTGATCATATTCAAATCAATTAAATTCAAAGCTTTGAAAGTTGCTCTATCAAGCCTGGCGATCACTCATTCCCTGGATATAGCATTCACACTGGTTCTTTTGCTGAGGTATGAGCGGTACGAGCACGATGCACTGTTTTTGACGTTCACAGCTGTGGAAGGATTGCATTTGGCTGTAGTGTTTTCTGTGTTCACTTTCTATTGGAGAATTTATTGGAGCAGTATGGATGAACTTATAAACGATGATATCTACTGATGAAGAAAATATTTTTATAAAAGTATGCTAATTTTTCCCTTAACTAGGTTGAGAGGTCAATCAATAAAAGAATTGAACTTTGAAAACTGAGATTTTATAATTATTTTATGCTATTATACATGCATTTATTATTTCATTAAACAATCAATGATAGATTTTCGTGTCAAGAGCTCATTACAATAAAATTACAAATTACTATTTTAGTGCAGCTTAAATAAAATAAAATGATGGAAAAATTTCCACGATTAAAATCTACTTTAATATGCTCCACTAAGCTTAGAAAAACAATACCTTAAATAAATTCTAAATAGGTAGGTACGTGCTATTTCATAATTACACTGTCCTTAAATCCCTTTTTGTTACCTCTACTACTTGTTGATTTGTGTTTCTGGCTCAGAGCCAAACAAGAGTCTTTTTAAAAGCTGAATTTATATTTTTTCCTTCCAGAGTTGAAAGGAGAAAATTCCAAATTTGCCCCAGGAGTGTTTTTCCCCTGGCAATTACGTTTTTTCGCTCTTTCTGGCAATGGGACAAATTAAAGTTTTTCAGGGTAGCCTTAATTAAAGATGGGAAAATAATTGTTGAGTTGCTTACCTGGTCCACGATTATAAGTTCGGTGCCGCTTTCTTCCAGGATTTTTGTCAGATGTGATACACCTGGAATGAATAGAATTTTTGTATTTTGAGTGGAAAAAAAAATCATAACTTTATTTCTGAGTCTCAGATTGAAAAAAATAACTGTAGACGGCAAAAAGGCCAACTTCAAACGTCGAAAAAACTTCTAAGATTGAAGAATAATTCAGAGTTTATATTTTAAATGAAATTACCAAAATATGTTGATATCAGGTACCTACGAACACTTAATTGTCAATATTCAAAACACAACAACTATTAACAAACTATTGAGAAACTGATGCGACATAATAAGGAAGGAGTTAGTAAGACGTCGTCGGCTGGACGTCCAAAACATGTCTTCAAAACGACGTTCTATTTTGGAAAAAAGTCGTATGAGACCAAAGTGGTCCAAAATTGGACGTCCTGGTCATTGTAGAAAGCTGGGATGTCCAGGGGCGAATACAGGCCTTTTGAAAAGAGGGGGCAGTTTAGGTTAAAGTGGGCTAGTTTGGGTTAGTTTTGGCAGCGCATTGTGCAAGATACGATTTTCCGAACAATTGACCCATAAAAATTAGGAGAATAAGGTGATTTTAAATAGGTATATCCTGTTCTCAATCCGATGTCTACAGGTGCAGGTAAATTTATCACCTTTCTCTATCAAATAGCATTGAAAGGTGATAAATTTTACTTGTACCTGTGTACATCGGATTGTGAACGGATAATAGGTATTTACAGGGTCTTTTTTTTACATATTGACAACCCACCTACTTTACCTTTACAGGTAGAAGAAAGGTGTGAATACAAAAGTTGTACAGTTTTGGCTGAATTTTTAGAATCCATGGTCAGAAACAAAATTTGAATGTTAGAAAAGATGAAGGCTGTAGGTGGGGTGTCAATGTATAAAAAAACACCCTGTACTTGAACAATAACTTATTATATAAGGTCAGAATTTATAAGATTATCCACTTTTTGTCAATTCGCCTTTCAACAGAAATTAGTACTGTAACTTTACCAAACTAGTAATATATTGTGTCAAGTTATTCAAGTACAAATGGGTGAATTGTTGCGGAACTTATGGGTGGACCTCTGCGGGACGAGCGCAGCGAGTTCCGCAGCCATCTATTCATCAACATGTTATTTAATTACGATACTAAACTGACTCACTAAAATGTGCGTTATTCTCATTAGTTTAAAAATTACACGTTTCAGGTTAGTGTCTTACTTGAATACGTCAACAGTATATTGGTAAGTAGATGGCTGCACCCATAAGTTCCGCATCAATCCACTTATTTGCACTTGAACAATAACTTATTATATAAAGTCAGAATTTGTAAGATTATCCACTTTTTGCCAATTGGCCTTTTAACAAGAATTAGTAATGTTACTTTACCAAAATAATGTGACAAGTTATTCAAGTACAAATGAGTGAATTATTGCGGAACTTATAGGTGGATTTAGCCATCTATTTACCAATGCGTTGTTCGTTCAAGTACAATATTAACCTGATTCACTCAATTTAGGATTTTTCTTATTAGTTCAAAAACTACACGTTTCAGGTGAGTGTCTTATTTGAACAGTTCAACAGTATATTAGTTAGTAGATGGCTGCGGAACTCGCTGCGCTCGTCCCGCAGAGGTCCACCCATAAATTTCGCAATAATCCACCTATTTGTACAGGGTGTTTTTTTATATATTGACACACCACCTACAGCCTTTACTTTCACAGATAGAAAAAAGGTGTGAATACAAAAGTTGTACAGTTTTGGCTAAATTTTTAGAATCCATGGTCAGAAACAAAATTTGAATGTTAGAAAAGGTGAAGGCTGTAGGTGAGATGTCAATGTATAAAAAAACACCCTGTACTTGAACAATAACTTATTATATAAAGTCAGAATTTATAAGATTATCCACTTTTTGTCAATTCGCCTTTCAACAGAAATTAGTAATGTTACTTTACCAAACTAGTAATATATTGTGTCAAGTTATTCAAGTACAAATGAGTGAATTGTTGCGGAACTTATGGGTGGACCTCTGCGGGACGAGCGCAGCGAGTTCCGCAGCCATCTATTCATCAATATGTTATTTAATACTGAACTGACTCACTAAAATGTGCGTTTAAAAATTACACGTTTCAGGTTAGTGTCTCACTTGAATAGTTCAACAGTATATTGGTGAATAGATGGCTGCGGAACTCGCTGCGCTCGTCCCGCAGAGGTCCACCCATAAGTTCCGCAACAATCCACTTATTTGTACTTGAACAATAACTTATTATATAAAGTCAAGTAAGATTATCCACTTTTTGCTAATTGTCCTTTTAACAAAAATTAGTAGTAATGTTACTTTACCAAACTAGTAACATAATGTGACAAGTTATTCAAGTACAAATTAGTGAATTATTGTGGAACTTATAGGTGGATTTAGCCATCTATTCACTAATACGTTGTTCGTTCAAGTACAATACTAACCTGATTCACTCAGTTGAGGATTTTCTCAATAGTTCAAAAACTACACGTTTCAGGTTAGTGTCTTATTTGAACATTTCAACAGTATATTGGTGAGTAGATGGCTGCGGAACTCGCTGCGCTCGTCCCGCAGAGATCCACCCATTAATTCCGCAATAATCCACCTATTTGTACAGGGTGTTTTTTTTATATATTGACACACCACCTACAGCCTTTACCTTCACAGATAGAAGAAAGGTGTAAATACAAAAGTTGTACAGTGTTGGCTGAATTTTTAGAAATCATGGTCAGAAACAAAATTTGAATGTCAGAAATGTGAAATTTTGCAGTTTTTTTCCAATAGAATGCCCTATATTTGGTTCTATATTCTTGAAGAGCACAATGCCCAATGTTTGGCTATTTCCGGCTCTAGAATTGTTTTCTCCGGAATACCTCCAAACAGAGAAAATAGAAAAGCCTGAAATAGGAAATCATAAACATATTCAGTACATATGTCAGAAGTATTCCAGTCCCAGAAGGGAAAAGGTCGTAATAGTTAAGGTCTTTCCAGGTCCGGATTGGGGGTAATCTTCGGCCCGGGTTGTTACGATAAACCAGCCCTTCTTAGCATACCCTATACAACTATTTTTTTCTATAGATACATCAATTATTAACAATATTAAAATAGAAGGTACCTATACTAATTTTGGTAGATCGATGTAGTTGAAATTCCCCATACGAGTGCAAAAAAGTCCCTAGATTGGTATCAAAATCCCTAGTTTCATAAACTCTACTACGGGGGAATCCCGCATTCTACCTTGTGTTCAGTACAAAATATGCATTTCATATCTTTCTCTATTTATATGCGTTAGAAAAAGATATTTGATGAATGCAAGCAACCTGCAATAGAGATTGTTTCGTTTTTTCCTCTCTAACACATTCAAGCCTTTTATGTATCATTTTCTGTTATTTTCACAGCACGTTAAGTTATCTATCATTGTTTATTCTACACGTGAAAATAGAGACACTTAGATTTTGAGCTTTAACACAGCTGTTAAAATGACAGGAGAGGTCTGCCTTACAATGCTCAAATTTTTATCTATTCCCGGCTCTTCAAGAACTAATAAACTGTCAGGTAATGCAATCTAACGGATAAAAACGCAATATGTAATCCCATTAGTCAACCAATTATCCAGTGACCAACAGGATTATAGATCTAAAAGTTTAGGGTTTCCATACGTCCGGATTTACCCGGACATATTGGGTTTTTAGGATGTCCGGGAAAGTCCGGCCGGAATTTGCAACAATTTCCGGAAAACTCGGAGATCGTGAAAACACTCATATACTCAGTTTACGTATAAGACGTGAAATTTTACTTCACACACTAGGTAATACGTAAAGTAATTCACTTTGAACACTAGTGCGTGAAATAATGTCAATGACAGGATGTCGATACTGTCATTTTTTTCTAGTAAATTACTTCACTTCACGAACTAGTGCGTAAAGTATTTGTCTAAATTTATTTTTTAACACATTCATTGGTAGTAGAGGTGTCAAGTTATAAAGTACCACCACCTGTAACTTTTTTATGTAGGTAAGATCAAAAATAAGAAGGTTACAGGTATGTGGTGGTACTTTATAACAAGGCGAGTGCGACAAAATTCACATCATTCGTAAAAAAAGGTTCACACTTGTTGCATAACTATTTCGGCAAAGTGCGGATTTCTTGACTCCTTTGTCCTGAATTCCGAAAAACCTTTATGGAAACCCTATGTAGGTAAGTAGTTTATCTTGCAGATAATTGTCAGCAAGTTTATCTCATGATGAATAAACCGGGCCTAAGATAGAAAACATTGAATGTTAGCGAATACAATTTTAATACAAAAACAGATCTGCGAAAAAGTCGTCTGGAAATGCTGGAGGATGTTTTCCAGCAGGTTTTTTTTCCTGTTCCAACAAAAATCCCAATCAGCAAAGGTTAGTTGTTATGACGTCAATTTTAAATAGATTTACGTCGATTAAGCAAAAAGAGGTTGCAAAATATGACTTGTTTAAGACAACACGTAGTAAACATTTATTTGACTATGACATGAACCAACAGGTTCAAAAGTTACCATATACCCTGTATTAAGAGGACTATGAAGCATCTATTTGACGTCGTTGAATTGAATTGGACGTATATTTGGTCAGTGTGGATCGATTGAAAAGTTATACCTAGTTATATCTACATAGTAATTAATAACCTTACCTATTCACAATCTGTAGTCCAAAGGTACAGGTAAATTTATCACCTATTTCCCTATCAAAAAGCATTGAAAGGTGATAAATTTATTATTTATAAAATATATTATAAAATTATTTCTTTTTGGTAATTGGTGTCCCCTGGGGAGGCCGTCCACCATAATAGGTTAGGATCCCATTTGTTGCACGATTATATTATTTAAGGTAAGTGTAGCAGTGGGGCACTACCGAATACCGTTGAGAAATGGTTGAATTACGATTTGCTGTTGGGTGTCAGCTGCACAACGTGTTTTCAAGTGAATTCAGCCTAATGGGGCTTTAATAGAATAGCTGAATGGTCTCTAACTTTGCCAGGCAAAATTGTTTTTGTGTTTTCCACTTTGGTTTGTTCGATAAAAAAAATCCTACTCAATAAATCCTGAAAGTTTGAAGTCCGCCTGATTGTTTGAAGTATTTTTCAAAGATGAAAATCAAGAGCCTGGAATAGAAAAATCTTGATTTTCTACACAAACTATGAGCCTAGAGCAATGTTAACCAACACATTGAGATTTTTTTTCAATTGTGAATACTTAAGTAATGAAAATAGGGAAGTTGGGTCATTATGGGACGCATCTCCCACTTGCACAAATACGAAAAACATAAAAAATAATAAAAACTACTTTATAGACCTATAAAGTAATGTTTTTTTCTATTGTACAAGGTTTCCGCTTAAGGCAATCAAATTCAAAGTTTTCAAAAGATGTTTACGAAATATTAACGACTTGTGTCATTATAGGACGCATTTCCCAATTGCAAAAAATACGAAGTAGGTACCTTAAAAAATAAGAAAAGTTTCTTTATAGACCCATAAAGTAATGTTTTCTATTATACAAGGTTTCCGCTTAAGGCAATCAAATTCAAAACTTTCAATAGTTGTTTTCGAAAAATAAAGTTGTGATTCGATTCACCCACACATAAAAATAAAATACAATAATTGTTTGATAATGAAATTATTTCAATTAGTGCATGAGTAAATTCTGTACTTTGTAATTATACTCCTTTTCGTACATACATAATATAGAACAAAGCGAGGGTATTGAAGTTTAATAATAATAATTATAACCGTAAATATGGAAATGTAGAAATACGAATTTTGCTAAATGTTATAACATTATAATTGGAGCCACATTTTCATTTAGTTGTTATGTTATCAACAGATAAACTCATTATTCATATCCTGGTACATAATGGATAAGAAGTAAATTACATTATGTCAATGTAATCTTGTCTTTTCCCATTTGGCTTTGTGAGTTTTCCCAGCAGCACAATTTTCTCGTTTTTGTGCTGCCTACTCAAAACCCTCGGCATTGTTTTATTAAAATTAGTATTCCTGGCGACGAGCTGGAAAATGGGAAATTTAACTTTTAAATAATGGGCAAAAGAAGTAACTTAGCATTTTAGGAATTTTGATATTTTGCAGTCAGAGAATTCTAGTATGAAAATTAACCCTTGCAGCTATAGAATCTAGCAGGATTTATTATTGTTTTATAGAATAGTACCTATCTAATACCTATTGAAAATTGTTCCTAAACAATTATTATTGAAGCAACAAGCATCAAATTGTTTCATGTCCATAGAGGGGCCAAATAAGATTGTTTTTTCAAAAAAAAATTATTTGAATAAAATCTACTTACCTCTGAACTCGATCTTGGCCAATTTCTCACCCTTACACCTGGGAATCTGGAATTGTTTCAATTTGACCGCGATCGACATGACGAAGGCCGTTCCAGGTTATCCTGAAGGACCTCTACGCGGTCCTGCAACAGCAGGAAGACTTGTTGATAGAGCGTGCGAGTGCTCCCTATATCTATACAGGAGCCCTCAATATGCGCAGGATCAAGGGTTTTAATGTAGTATAGGGCACAAAACAAAGTGTTGTATTTTTTATATGTTGAGGAATTTCAAATCATCCTCTGGTTTTTTTTATATTGGAGAGGATGGCGTGACAAAAATACTACCTATTGTAGGATTTAATAAAGACAAGAATTTAATAAAGCTTTGAGAAAAATTAAGAGATGTTTTATGTGAAGCATACAAGCTTCATTCTTAACACAAAAGATTGTAGATTCAACTGAAGAAGCTTAGAAATTGCTTTCCTAAAGTTTAAATTTGGAGAACTTGTAAGTTTGTTGTTCTTGACAGCTCATTTGGTACCACAACTATGTTGAATTAAATAGTAAAGTAAATTCGAAAATGAGGAATTGTTTGAGAAATATTCAAGTACTTATACACAATAATACAATAGAAATATATTTTTCCTAGTTCAGCATACAAGATTCATAAGTCGGTATCAGATATTTGATATTGATAAAAGCATCCGGACCGCCGTATCTTTCCAATATTTCCAAAGTGTCATTGATAATATCGGCTAAATTATCTCCTCGCATTTGGCTGTAGTCGATTTCGTCGCCGCAATTGACGTTTTTCTCTTTGAACAAGTTCAAAGTGGGCAAAATTTGCCTGTAGTAAGGTACGAGGGCCTCGCCGATCAGATCGGCCGATTTCACGAGATGCTGCAGTACTTTTAGGGTGGAGCACATTACTTCTTTGTTTTTGGTTTTGAGCGCATCTAAAATAAATCCATTATAGGTAGGTAAGGTAAAGTAGGTACTAAGGTACTACAAATTTTCCAATAATGGTAATTCAGAAGTGAATTTCATAAGATCATAAAGCATAAGATTCAGAATGGGAAGTTTATTTATTATTATTCAGAAATGGGAATTTGTAATTTCACTATATCAATATAGGAATATGTATTTCAGACAGAGGGGAAATTCAATTTCAGAAAATATACATTGTAATTCAGATGATATGCAATAATTTTAAAAATCAGAAACATATGTGTGACATTTATGCAAAGTTTACATAAGATAATTTCTTTCCAATTTAATAATGTAAATACCTACTATGGAAAATAGGGGCCTGCTCTAACTGTTTACAATAAATGTTCACCCGAAATATTAAATATACTGCCTTCACAAGGCTGAATAGTTAATAATAATCAACTTGTAGTAGAAATTTTTCTAAGGGGTACTTATGCAAGGAAATTTAATTTTCAAATATTTCAAAAGGCCATATTTTGGGAACCAGAACATCTATCAGTACGAAATTTTGTTCAATTGTAGATCTCGATTGGAGCTTCAAAAAAGCCTCATTGAGACACTGAGCTCAAGAGCTTCGTTTTCGAGATAATCGGCTCTGAAAGTTTTCCAAAATTTGAGACAACGTTTCAACTTTGAGGCTCAATATCTCGAAAACTATTTGAGATAAATGATTCAATTTTATTTTATCTTAAAGAGCGTTCAATTCTGATTAAGACAATATGAATATGCACTAGAATTTGTGAAATGTTAGTCGAATAATGAAGGGTTTTGTGAAGTAATGTCGGATAATTGAAACTTTTCAAGGAAAAAAATGAAAAACTCATTTTTAATTTTTTACAGGCCCTATAAAACCTCAAAAACAAAAATCAAAAAAATGCTTTTCCACTAATTTTGTCCCTCTCTTTCGATTGGTGAAGTCAAAAATTGAAAAATTTGGAAAAATCAAAATTGAAATTTTTCCAAAGGGGTATGTATGTAAGGAAATTTCATCTTCAAATATTCCAAAGGGCTATATTTTGGAAATCAGAATGGCTATCGGTATGAAATTCTGTCCAAATGTAGATCTCGATTGGGGCTTTAAAAAAGCCTTATTGAGACACCGAGCCCAAGGGCTTCGTTTTCGAGATAATCAGCTTTGAAGGTTTTCCAAAGTTTGAGACAAAGTTTCAACTTTGAGGCTCAATATCTCGAAAAATATTCGGGATAAATGATTCAATTTTATTTCATCTTGAAGAGCATTTAATTCTGATTAAGAATATATAAATTTGCACTAGAATTTGTCATATATTAATTGAGTAATGAGGGGTTTTGTGAAGCAGTGTCGGATAATCGAAACTTTTCAGGACAAAAAAATGCAAAACTTATTTTTAATTTTTTACAGGCCTAAAACCTCAAAAACAAAAATCAACAAAATGCTTTTCCACTAATTTTGACCCCCTCTTTCGATTGGTGAAGTCAAAAATTGAAAAATTTGGAAAAATCAAATTTGAAATTTTTCCAAAGGGGTATGTAAGGAAATTTCATCTTCAAATATTTCAAAGGGCCATATTTTGGAAACCAGAATAGCTATCGGTATGAAATTCTGTCCAAATGTAGATCTCGATTGGGGCTTTAAAAAAGCCTTATTGAGACACCGAGCCCAAGGGCTTCGTTTTCGAGATAATCAGCTTTGAAGGTTTTCCAAAGTTTGAGACAAAGTTTCAACTTTGAGGCTCAATATCTCGAAAACTATTTGAGATAAATGATTCAATTTTATTTCATCTCGAAGAGCGTTTAATTCTGATTAAGAATATATAAATTTGCACTAGAATTTGTCATATATTAATTGAGTAATGAGGGGTTTTGTGAAGCAGTGTCGGATAATCGAAACTTTTTAGGACAAAAAAATGCAAAAATCATTTTTAATTTTTTACAGGCCTAAAACCTCAAAAACAAAAATCAAGAAAATGATTTTCCACTAATTTTGACCCCCTCTTTCCATCGATGAAGTAAAAAATTGAAAAATTTGGAAAAATCAAAATTGAAATTTTTCCAAAGGGGTATATGTAAGGAAATTTCATCTTCAAATATTCCAAACGGCCATATTTTGGAAACCTAAATAGCTATCGGTATGGAATTTTGTCCAATTGTAGATCTCGATAAGGGCTTCAAAAAAACTCCATTGGGACATCGCGCCCAAGGGCTTCGTTTTCCAGATAATTGGCTTTGAAGGTTTTCCAAAGTTTGAGACAAAGTTTCAACTTTGAGGCACAATATCTTGAAAACTATCTGAGATAAATGATTCAATTTTGTTTCATCTTGAAGAGCATTTAATTCTGATTAAGACAATATAAATATGCACTAGAATTTGTGCAATATTAGTCGAGTAATGAGGGGTTTTGTGAAGCAATGTCGGATGATCAAAATTTTTCAGGGCCAAAAAGGCAAAAATCATTTTTAATTTTTTACAGGCCCTAAAACCTCAAAAATAAAAATCAACAAAATGCTTTTCCACTAATTTTGACCCCCTCTTTCGATTGGTGGAGTCAAAAATTGAAAAATTTGGACAAATCAAAATTGAAATTTTTCCAAAGGGGTATACTTACAAGGAAATTTCACTTTCAAATATTTCAAAGGGCCATATTTTGGAAAACCAAAATGGCAATCGGTATGAAATTCTGTCCAAATGTAGATCTCGATTGGGGCTTTAAAAAAGCTCTATTGAGACACCGAGCCCAAGGACTTCGTTTTCGAGATAATCAGCTTTGAAGGTTTTCCAAAATTTGAGACAAAGTTTCAACTTTTAGGCTCAATATCTCGAAAACTATTTGAGATAAATGATTCAATTTTGTTTCATCTTGAAGAGCGTTTAATTCTGATTCAGAATATACAAATATGTATTAGAATTTGTGTAATATTAATTGAGTAATGAGGGGTTTTCTGAGGCAATGTTGTATAATCAAAATTTTTCAGGGTCAAAAAGGCAAAAATCATTTTTAATTTTTTACAGGCCTTAAAACCTCGAAAAGAAAAATTAAGAAAATGCTTTTTCATTAATTTTGATCCGTTCTTTCGATTGGTAAAGTTAAAAATTGAAAAATCTCACTGAATTACAATTTTGCTTTTCTAAATAATTAAACTGTATGGTAAAGTGGCTTGACCACTGCCGTTGCGTGCGGTAAAGTATCACTTTTCGCATTTGTTAGATACTATAACTATAATGATTCAACTACTACATTGGGACATATGGCTTTTCTGAATTTCAGCTTCCTAATCTGAATTTCATTTTTCCTACTTCTCTTTTCTGAATTACAATAAATTGAATTGTTTAATTAGTAAAATATTGTACCTTTTATTGGTATGATAAGTTGCGGAATGCAAGGGAAAACCTTTTGACCGCCATAATTAAGCAAATCATGAATGCCTTGCTGAGCAAACAGCTTATAAGGGTTTTCAGTTTCACATAAACCTTCAAAGAACATAGGAAGGTAATAGTGGAATTCCAATTTATTAATATCAGCCTAAAAGAAACACATTGTTTGCCTGTAAAACAATAAAGTAATGACTCACTTTCCAAGAAACTCTAGCTCCTTTAGCTTCTAAAGCTATAGGTAAATTGCCTCTTTTGTAATTCATGCGAAATTTATGTGCTCCTTTAGGAGCTACTTCTTTGTAGGCATTACATTTAGGAGGAGGAATTACACATGTACCTTTAATTAAAATGTTAATTATTATTGTAAACTAGGTAATTCCAAAGAGAATAGGTATTACCTTTTTGAAATGCTTGTATAGTGAAAGCTGGCACTTGTCTACAAGATGACTCCTGCTGCTTGTCTTGTCCTTCTTCCAAGTCAGATTCATGTTTTTGCTTTTTAACGGCGTTGGGTAAAGGTTTTGTCAAGTTGTTCCTGAACTCTTTTCCACTAACCATTTTTTCAGTTCAGTTTATATTTATTATGGATGGCTAACATTTCAAAATGATGATTGATGATGTTTTACTAACAGTTGCTCTTGGTAACTTATTGTTTGATCGAATAGGTGAAATAAGGGCTGTTCAATAATCAGCGTTTTTTCATTGGTGCAAACCAGTTTTCAACTAATAGAATTCCTATTGTATATTCACAATCTATGGGTGCAGGAAAAATTTTCAATGCTATATTTGATAGGGAAAAGTGATAAATTTACCTGTACCTTTGGACTACAGATTGTGAATAGGATATATCTATTGATTTATTTTGAAATTAAAAACACAATTTTGCTTATAATTTAATAATGAAATACTGCAAATACTGTGATAACACAAAAAATTGTATCGTTCATGAAAACTTCGCTGCTGCAAGTATCAGTTTCGCTGTCCCAAGTGCATCTGATACCGGATTTGACTCCTTGTCCTTTTCTTTCTCCTATTATCACTTGTACAACATGCCTGAATCTTTTCATGCCTATGTCTAAAATCAAATAAGTTGATTAGTTCACAATAATTGATTGGTGCAAACCAGTTTTGAGCCAATGAAATTATGAACAAACCTAATTAATTACCTTTAATTTTCTCATTGATTTCGTTGGCCATTCTAATTGTCCACTTTTTAGCACTATCTGCATCATAAGTTTGTCCATATAAAGTGTTTTGTTGGACGTTTATTACTACTTCTTTGACTGGAGCTTCTTTGAATCTAAATACATAATAATTAAACAAACTATTGTTTAAGTTTGGTATTTACTTACGTGTCTTGAAAACTGGGTTTGATTTGGTAAGAGTTTTGGGGGGCCACTGATTCGTGGCTCAGTTCTTTGCCTTTTTCTGAGAATTTAGGGTGGTCCACTTGTGAAACGATACCTGTGGAAAATGCATCTTTAGGGTCGACGCTGGGAGCGTTTTCTTCATCCATAATTTTCTTTTTATTTGTGAAAAGTGGAAAACTGAGAAATTATTAGGTTATAATTCAATGTTTTGATTGTTTGGCATAAGAATATTTAAGCTGGCAACATTGTAAAGTGCGGGTTTATGATATATTTGGCAACGGTGTCTATTTCCACAACTAGGGGTTTATTGATTTTTATATGTAATGGCGGTAAATTCAAAAAAAAAAATATTAAAAATCAAATTTTATTACAAATACTTCAATTGTTAATACAATATTAATTTATTTAGCTTATAAATCAGTAAAATAAACTAATTTCGTTTAATAAAACTTGTTTTAATTGATTTTAGTTTAAAATCAATTTGGCAACGTAGCTGTTTGTATGTCAGAGCCATGTAGCGCCATCTATCAACAGGTGAGTGAGTTGCACTAAAATATATTAATTTGAGCTTTTAAAACATCATTTGAGCCCTAAAATGTTTAAAAGAAGCCCTAAAACTAATCTAGATTTGAAATTCAATACATTTTCCTATTTATTTGTGCCAAAAACAATAAAAAAATTCAAATTTCGCGGTCAAATCTGTCCCGGATTTCCCCCACCACGTCTGTCATTTGTAAAATTGTGTAGTCTGACTTCCGCCCTCTTGGTTCGTTCCATTTTGCCAGCGACCGTAGTCCGGTTAACAAGTTCATGTACGCGCTTCGATGAAATTTAAATTTAAACTAAGAAAAAATGGCTAGCATCCCTGAAATGTCGCTTATGTGCCGTCTGTGTCTGGCAAAAGACGAAAGTCAAGTTAATATTCCAATTTTCGAAGATCCCGGTGATATTAGGCAAATATTTGTTAAGATTAGTTCCTGTCTACCAATTAAGGTGAGTAGGCCTGGCCGCCATTAAAGCGTTTTCTCTTCACAGCTTTTTTCGACAGACGCAAGCCGAGATTCCACCCTGTATTGTTTATCAACATTATTTGTCTATTTTTATAATTTAACAGGGTGACCCAAGGACCAAGCTGAAGCCTTTTTATTTATTTTTTTATAAATGCAATTGACTTTTTTCTAATTATTTCTCAATATTGCGCACATAATCAGCCCTAGGACGCCTCGATGGAGCCCCATTATCGATCCATTTCAATTGTTCCCTAGAGGGGTACCTCGTATTGAACGCCTAGGAATATTATACCGGTCGGCCAATAGGAACGCTGGAAATCGGCGTCGCATACAGGGCTGGCCAATGAGCGAGCGGCATTCTTGGGCTTGGTCTGTTCGCGTCATCCGATTTTCTTCTTTTGTTTGTTGGAGAATGGTGGGTCGCCATCTTGTTGTTGTAAACTTTGAACATGGAAATAGAGGCTTTTTTTTTGCGGGGCACCATTTATTATTTATGATGATTTAATTGTCTTTGATTGTCAATTTGGATTTTTTGGCCCCATTTGCTGTTGAGCCGGGGGCCCCCTTCAATTTTTATTACAATAATAATTTTACAGTGTTGCAAAATTTAAATTATTTCACAGTTTTGCTTAACTATTAATTATTTAATTTACAAACTTTGATACTCATTTGATAATTCCATAAGCGGGTTAAATAGGATTTTAATTCAATTTAATTTTGTGCCATTTATTTTTGCATTACTTCCATTCCATAGGCGGCGGCGGGTTTAAACAGTGAATTAATTCAATTTTATTTTGTTCCATTCATGTTTCATCAATGAAATTATTCTTTTTATGCATTTTTGCATTGATTTTTTGTTAGCAAGGGTTGCCAGCTTTTTCAGCTTGTATAAGAAAGAGACGAAAATACATTTATTATGAACTGGTTCTACCAATAGAATTCACTATTTTCATTGTCCTAAGAATAGAATTAGGCCTATTCGGGTTGGGAAAAAGGACGGTTCTAGAACGGTTCAAAACAATCGCACAGTTTACAGATCAAAAAAATGACAACGACTCGGCTATCACTTTCAATATTAAACTGTGCGTTGCTTTTGGACCGTTTTAGAACCGTACTTTTTCCAAACCCGAATAGGCCTATTGATTCCATAGGCGGGTATAAACAGTAATTAATTTTATTTGCAACCATATATGTAATCTTGACATTACTGACTTTTTAAACATTTGTAAGTGTCACTTTACCTGTGTCACTTCCCTCTTCGATTCCCCTCACCGATTTCCCTATTCGACTTCCTTCACCGATTTCCCTCACTCTAATTTATTTACCTTTGCTGGCAACAATGAGAACATGTCAGGTAAAAACGTCAAAACAGTGAATGACACATTTTGGCATGTTTTATAGACTTAAATAGCACTCTTAAATATTGACTTTGAATTCGAAAACACCTTGTACAATAGCCCTCACTGACAAAGAAAAAAGAAGAAATAAGTTCAGTACAGTGCAATTCAAAGATGAAAAATAGTGTAAAGGTCTGTTCACACAGAAATCACAGACCAGCCAAGAGCATTTTTGATTGGTCCAAATCAGTTTTCTGACTATTTTCCAGCAATGAAAACAGATCTTATAAATTAATTAATTTTCAACCATGATGATTGTTCTTCACAGACCTGTTCTGACTCAAATTTGATGTTATATTAAGAACGGCCATCTGATTCAAATAAATAACCAACTTAATAAATAAAACCACATAAATCATACAAAAATTTGTAACATTTTTTTTCTTCTCAAATTCCAGATTTCTAGAGATGACGAGCTACCGAAAAACATCTGTGATGGATGCGGGGACAAGCTCGAACTGCTGTACGAATTCGTGAATACCTCATTGGACTCGGAAAAGACTCTGACTGCCTGGCTGAAGCAGGTGGGCATCAAAAACCGCGAGCAAGCCATTAGCACAGTGACCCAGCAAATCTCCAAACCTGAGACTTTGGTCAAAGAAGAATCTGACAATGCAGAAGCAGCAACATCTTATTTGGCAGAAGAATCTTCAATCAATGAGGTAAAAAAAAAAACAAAACCAACTGCCAAAAACTCAAAATACTAATAAGTTTATTAAATAATTGTTTCAGGAAGCAGAAATCATTGAAGAAGAAGAAGAGGTTGAACCTCCTAAAAAACGCGCGCGTCGTACTGCTGCAGTTAAAGCCCAAATCAGTATTGCACCAGAATCTGATGATGAAGATGACAACTTTGATAATACCATGGACCAGCCTGATGATATTGATGCCGACGTGATTGCAAAACTTGAAGAAGAAAGCGAAGAAACTGACAATGATGAAAAGGACCCTTCATACACTGATTTGCCTGGAACCAGTGCCCAAGACCAACCTGGAACGTCTGGTCTTGGCAAGGATGGAGCTGAAGCACCGTAAGTATTTGTTTTATTTCATTCCCTTTAACCCTTCAGTCCAGGACATGCAGGCGCGATGTTTGCTGGTTTGTCTTTTATATGAATTTTTGGTGGAGGTTGTTCTTATGCTTTTTTTGAATTCTTGCAGGTAAGATTGCTTTGTTATATTGAAAAAAGGCAAACCAGTAATCACTTAATCTATGAATTGTTCACAGCTACAGAAATGTTTGCCCAAATGACATATTCAATATTATCTCGCAAAAGTCTTACTTTTTAAGGAAAAACTGTTTGTACATCTTTTTTTGTGTCGCTGCTACTTTACTTTTTGGTGGCATTTTAAGAGGTGCAGATTCAGTTTTCCAGCTGACTTTACGTGGATTCATTTTTTAAAAACAAATTTGGGCAAATATGTTTGTTGGCTTTGACAATCTTGGAATCTCGATTTTGTATTCATTTGCATGTCCAGACTATCTATAAGTAACAACAATTAATTTCAACTTTGATATTTTCACATACTTGAAACATTATTTATATTAATTTTTGTTGCTTTATTTATATTTTTTTATACTTATTGTTATTGTTCATTGTTTAAATTTTTAAACAGTGCATTTTATTATTATTGTCTTAACACTTTTTTGGTGTTGAGAAGTTTCTATTGTATCAGTTTACTGTTATAACTTGGCAACATTGTGACAATTTTCTTTAATTGCCACTTTAAATGTTGTTGAGATTATTGCAGTAATTTGATTAATACTGTTTTAATAATTAGTCAGCATTGCCTTTGATGTCAGTTTTCTTTAATTGACATTGCTGAAAATGCTGCCTTAATTATTACAGTAATTTCACTGAAGAGTGTTGTTTGAAAATGCCATTTTTTTGGCTTTTAGTGACACACTCTTGGCCTTGTTTTTCAAGTGTTGCAGGCAAGTGAAAAGTGTTAGATAATTCTAATAGTTAATAGTTAATAATAGTAACAACTAAGGTTAAATTACTAGGTATGCATTGATTGTATGAATGTTGAGTGTTTGAATGTTTTGGGGGGAATTAAATTATCCTATATCCTAGTCCTTTTTTGTTGAAATTCAATATTTTTCCTAAATTTTCCAAAGAGCTCTTTGTTGTTTTCTCAAATGTTTAAAATTGTTTGCAAATTTTATCTAATGTATAAGTTATCAAGAAAGAAGATCTTATGGTTCAGAAGCTGCAGATGTTCCACTAGGCCTGATGATGATGATGATGATAATAATAATTATTCAAAGATGTACCTCTTTGGTAGTTAATAAATGATTTTTTTGAACTTATTTTGTTTTATTTATAAAGGTAATTTATACAGAAATTTAGCATTAAACTTTAATTCATAAGAATTTCGATGTCACAATAGTTGAACAATTTCTGAATAAATTTCCCTTTACAGCTACCTTCTTAATTTGGGGTTTTCTACTGTCAAAACTTTTAAAATCAAGTATTGGTTTTCTTCTGTGAAAACTGAGAATTAAATAGTCAAGTTTTTGAACAAATAGAGCTACAAAGTACTAGTTTTTTTCTGTAAAAACTGGAAATCTAGAAAAAAAGGGTTTTTTTTTTCTATGGAATTTAGGTTGTGGTTCCTGCAGGTAGCCAACAAGTTCCTTCAAGAGGGAAGGTGACAAAAGGTAGGTCTTTACAGGTTCTGATGGTGAATGTTTTTCCTAGGAATAGATTATTGATTTTTATTTATTTTTCCAGCCTTCAAGAAACTACTGTATAATAATTATGAGAAGTATTTTACAAAAAATAACTATTGCAATCTTGTAATTGCTAATCTAAAAATAGAGAAGCTTGCTGAGACGTCTTCACTTGAAATTATCACATTTTCAAAGCAAAGTTAAAAATCTTAAATATTTGGTTAAATAAAAGGAGGAAAATGTAAAAAAAAATTACTGAAGGGGGGATGTGTGTGTTGCAGATGTCAGCTGCAATGTGACCAAGGTTGTTCTATCCTACCCTTCTTTCTGCTGCTAAGTTTGGGTTTTTCCCGCTCAAAGCAGCTCTTCCAGTCCTAGGTCCTCTGGGAATTTTAGGATCTCTAACGGTTCCAGGGCTGTCTTCCAATTGTATTAGGGTACTTTCCAGGTTCTTCAATCCTTGAGCGATTGACAGCATCGCAGTTCAGTAGAAGATGGTGAGGCAGGGCCGCTGCTGAGGTGTTAGGTCGCCTGGGCTGGAACTTTGTAAAGGATAGAGATCGTTATCCCTATCGCTATGGCACTGGCTGTCTTCTTCTCTCTTGTCTAAATCAATAGAGAGGAGAGGTCAATAGAGATGAAGAAAATATCTCTATTTGTTACAGAGTCCCAGACCAATGTTGCCGCCCGACTTCCCTTTAATAATAATAAATACAATTTTAACTTTAAATCTTAGCATCTGTAGTGACGTCACAAGGGTATCGGCGCTCAACAATAATAGGCAATCCTCTGCTTATAATCCTTGGTTTGGTTTGTGTTAATCGTTCGTCGGCTGTCATCGTCATTCACTGTCTTGTTTCATCATTCTTCTCTCTCGTGTAACGAAATTTGCCAAAGCGTGACGCCTTTCATATCAATCTCCATTCTCTTCCAAATATCAGATTGCCATTTATTTTTAAGAAGTTTCACTTCAAAAACCTAATTAGTTTGGTCCCCTGTAATGTCCGGGTACGTCTGTTGCCGTCATTTGATATCCAGATAGACATAGACTAATATACAGGGTGTACCATTTAAAACGACACAGGCTGAATATCTGATGCCATGTTTAAAACAGATATCACTCGACCCCCTGTTCGATTTGGAATGGTCAGAGTTCGTTCCACCCCCCATTAGAGGGTTAGGTTAGTGCTGAAAACACTCACATAATCAAATTACGTGTACAAGCGATATAAAAAAAAGTGTCATCAGATATTTAGTGTGTTTCGTTTTAAATGGTATACCCTGTATAATATAGCGTGAACGGTGCTGTTTGTCAATAGTTACAAGGTGATCTATTATTATTATAAATGTCACTTCTTACCAAGCTTTTCATATGATATTTTTGACAGGAATTCCGAGTGTTAAATACAAATAAATATATACAGGGTGGGGCACAAAAAACTTTCCACCCAGGTTTTTTCGATCAAACAATTTACTGGTATTTTCAGTCCCTAAACGGGGGTGATAGGCACCCTCAAAATATACAGGGTGGGGCACGAAAAACTTTCCACCCAGGTTTTTTCGATCAACCAGTTTACTGGTATTTTTAGCCCCTAAGCGGGGGTGATAGGTACAGGGTGATCTATTATAAATGTCACCCCCTTCTTTTTCATTTGACATTTTTGACAAAAGTTTCATGAAATTGTCAAAAGTTTTTAACTCGAATCAGATTTAGGCATACAGGGTGCCACAAAAAAGTGCAACGATGTAAAGTTATATTTTTTTAAATGGAACACCCTGTATATTGTGTGCTTATTTGTTAGTCCCTTTTAACCTGATTTCAACGATATATGGTTTGATATGTCTTATGTTCAATAGTTCTAGGGAAAAATATGAAAACCCCTTTCAAGGTTTCATATTGAAAAAAGAAAAATTATAGCATTTAAGCTTTAGAGAATGTTTTTATAAACAATTTATTGTTCAAATTTCATTCATTAATATACAAGGTGAAATATTATAATAATTCCGGATGTTTAAGTTATTATTGTTATTTTTAAAAAAATAACATGAGAGACTTAGGAAGGGATTTTCGCGTTTTTCCCTATTACTATTGGAGATAAACCGACAGATAAACATATTAAACCATATACTATCGTTGAAATCAGGTTAAACGGGACTAACAAATAAGCGCACCATATATAGGGTGTTCCATTTAAAAAAATATAACTTCACACTGCTGCACTTTTTTGACGCACCCTGTATGCATGAAACTGACTTAATTAAAAACTTTTGACAATTTCTAAAAACTTGTATTAGACACTTCTGTCAAAAACATCAAATAAAAAAGTTAACAGGGGGTGACATTTATAATAGATCACCCTGTACCCTCCAAATTAAAAATAGAAAGAGAGGTCAACTGATACTGTTCCTTGATAGCAATTTTTATCAGGATTATATACTCGAAATTTTAAGTTGCTACTATTTGCCCTGCCGAAATGGTGGCTTCTCAAAGTTAAGAAATAGTACAGGGTTATTGGTTATAAATGTCACCCCCCTCTATCTTTTTTATTTGACATTTTAGAAAAAAGTGTCGCAAATAAAAGTTTTATGGTTGAAATTAAATTTTTTGAAGAACTCACTTTCGCATATACAGGGTGTTTCAGAAAAGCTGCTTGTGCTCCAAATTTCTTATTTCAAATAGAATACCCTGTATATTATTGGATATTCGGATTCTACGTAAAATTTTGAGCAGATTTCATGTGATATACCCTATACCTAAGTTCAACTGTTTTCCAAATATTGACAGTTGAAAATTGACTTTTTTGCAACTTTGTCAGGCTGTAAATCCTAAACGGTTAATTTTAGAGCAAAACCGATCTTACATTTTTATCTTAGATTTTTATAAACTATCAGTGGACACCAGTATTTGACATCAACTTTGAATTTAATCAATGATTTAAAATTCCAATTAAATTTAATCTTCGGTTAAATTCGAAGTTAGTGTCAAATGATAACTTGCGAAAAATCTTAAAAAAAAATGTAAGATCGTTTTTGCTTAAAAGTTAACCGTTTAGGTTTTACAGCCTGTCAAATTTGCAAAAAAGTCAATTTTCAACTGTCAATATTTCCAAAACAGTTGAACTTAGGTATAGGGTATATCACATGATATCTGCTCAGAATCCGAATATTGAATAATATACAGGGTATTCAATTTAAAATAAGAAAGTTAGAGCACGACCAGCTTTTTTAAAACACCCTGTATATACAAAAGTAAGTTTTTCAAAAAATTCAATTTCAACCATAAATTTTTTATTTGGGACATTTTTTTCTGAAATGTCAAATAAAAAAGATAGAGGGGGGTGACATTTATAACCAATAACCATGTACATTGTATCACTCTCCTTTCCATTTGAAATTTTGCGGGTACGTGTCAACCCCGCTTAGGGTCGACAGGTAGGAGTTGACCAGTCCGAGCCTTAGACCGAGGGATTTTTGATTAATTACCCTGAGAAAGCCTTTCAAGGCCAAATGTCACAAAAATAAGATTTTCTTGAATATTTTGCTTCCTGTATGTCCTACGACCATTTAAGCTAAAAGAGTTCAATTCTTTTATTAGTTCTTTCATTATTTAAAACATATACAGGGTGTTTCATGAACATCGAAATAGGCGTTTTGGGGTACTCAAGGTACATTAAAAAAAAAAAAACGCTTGGACACTTCAATTTTGTATTCAAGGGGGAAACTTTTTGACCCCATCGGTATTTCACTAGGGAGGTGACTTTCGCCCCTCTTTTGATAGGGAAGATGGGTCGAGTGGTACCTTGCTTGAAAGGTGTATTGATTCTCGCCACAACTGTGTACTTTTTTGCAAATCGAATGTAGTTGGGGATAAAAGCTCTATTCTAACAGATATTAGAACAGTGATTTCCAGTCGATTAGTTCATTTGTCAAGTAGGACAAACGTTCAACTTATTGAAAAAATAGGTGAGCAACTGGAAATTACTGGTTCTGGAACGGTTTTCATGTTTGTTGGGGAACAGAGCTACAATAGTTTGGAAGACGACTGACATTTTTTCGATTTTTAATCAAAAATTGGGAATCAGAAAAAAAAATGACAAAATGATTGATAGTGCTTTTTGAAAATGCCATTTTCAGATACAAGTGTAAAGACTGGGGGTCGTTTTTCTAAATATTAAATTCAAGGGGCGTTAAGAAGATTTATATGAATGGAAATCACTTAATTCAAGAGTTAAGGAGTCATGAAACTTGTTTAAAGAAACAGGAAATTTATTTCATTATCATACGACACATACATTCAAATGAGGCGGCGCACACTGGCGAAACAATTTCTGCTCTCCTGTTTCAAAAACGCCAGTGTGTCACCCGCCTTAAGATAACCAATTAATCTGGCATTATACACGTCAAAAAACTTACGTCATTACACGCGTACGTCAAATCGACCGCATGCACAAATGTTTACAATAACTAAGCACTATAATTCCTAGAATTCATAATAAAATATCAAAGGGAATTATACATTGTGAGGCACGAAAAATTTCCCACTTAGGTTTTCTGATGTATCAGGTAATACATACACATATAACACCTTAGTGGGAAATCACCTGATAGAGAAGTTTTTCGTGCCTCACCATGTATTATGCAGTACAGTTACCAATGCACACACAACAGTTACAGCTACTCCCAATATCAGAAAGTGCCAATTTTGAACACAAATATTTTAGATACTCAGGTTTACTGAAAGAAACTATACTTTAACATAAAAACCATAGAGAAAAACAAATTATTGTTGCTGTGGTTGGGTAGTGGAAAACCTGCATCAGGCATTCTTGGATGGACAAAGCTGCCACCCTTATACCAATGGCGTAATTACTGATTTTATGAATACTCTGTCCTTTTGACCAACACGCGTGTACTCCCATTGCCACAATAATTGTTTTCTATATTTTTAGAGTCTCCTTCAGTTGCAATATTTGCGGTAAAACTTTCAAAAAATCATGGCAACTCGGCAACCATCTGGCAAACTTAAACATCCAACTCATGGAGCCCTATTGCCAAACCTGCGACAAAGTATCTGCAAACTGCAACCACAAAAACGAAGCTCTATTTTGCAATTTTTGCAAAGTCTCAGTAGAACTTCCAACCGAAAACCATTTGTGTTTCCACTTGAAAGAGCAAACAATCCAGTGCAAAAAGTGCCAAACAACATTCCAAACCAAAAAAGAACTGGCCTCGCACTTCTACAAAATCCACAAACGCATACCAACAATTGTGTGCCACATTTGCGGCTTCGCCACTAAACATATTGCACGGCACAGGGCCGTGCACGCTTCAGACCGGCCTTATCAGTGCGATATTTGTCCGAAAACCTTTAGGGCCAACTACGGGCTTAAAAAGCACATGATGGTGCACGGAAACGAGGCCAAGCACGAATGCAAAGTTTGCGGGAAAGCGTTCAAGTTGAGTTATAATTTGACAGTGCATAGCAGGATTCATCAAGGGGTTAAACCTTTTGATTGTACTGTTTGTAAAAAGGGTTTTACGACAAAACAGTGGAGGGATAGACATACACGAACTCATTGGTGATCGAATTTTTTCAGATATTTGAGTGGTTAATTCCAAAGAAATATAATATGGTTAAATTTAATGAAACCTCTTCGCTTGTTGCAATTTTTTTTTTTGTTTCTAGTACATTTTTCTAGTTTGGAGTGCAATTTTTCTCAAGTTTGGTTTGATATTGTAGGTCTGTTTCTACAAGAGTCTCTGGCAGTTTGCAAACTGGCTCAGCTGAGTTACCAAATTATCTTTGAACGATGGTATTGAAAAGATGTATGGGGATGCTTTCTGAGAGTTGGCAAAATATCAGAAACTCTTGTGATAACAGACAGACCTAGATGTCATTCGATTATTTGGATTTTAAAAATACATACGTTATTTCGTTTTTATTAAGTTTCTCAGGAGGAAATGTGGTAGACATTGATCAAACTACTAAAATTTTTAATAGGGAATCATTTGATCTGTAATGTTACCAATGTATGTAGATACTTACAGTAGAACCTTGATTATCTGGGTCACCTGGGACCGAGTATACTTTATTAAAGTTCGGTTTATTCATTCTCATGCAATCTGTGGGATAAATTATTTCAATTTTTGCATATAAAGAGGAAGGTTAGGAGCCCATTTTTCCAAAGTCTACCTACAATAACTAAATTAATTGAAAATACAGTCTCACATATTTCAAGATTTTCTTAGGAAACTAGTGAAGGGAAAAATATGAAACTTTTTGCATGGGAAGAGGAAGGTTAGAGACTCATTTTCCTAAAATTTCAAATTTTTCCAGTGGAAAATAACAACATGAAGAATCTTGGAAATCAACCCACAATAACTGGATTAATTGAAAATACTACCGTCTCACACATTTCAAAGTTTTCCTAGAAAACTAGCGAAGGGAAAAATTTGGAACTTTTCATACGTAAAGAGGAAGGTTAGGAGCTCAATTTCAAATTTTTCCAGTAAAAAATACCAACATGAATCTTAGAAATCAACCTACAATAACTGAATTAATTGAAAATACAATCTCACACATTTCAGAGTTTTTCTGGAAAACTAGTAGAGAAAAAAATTTGAAACCTTTTGCATGTAAAGAAAATGGCTGGAAACTCATTTTCCCAAAATTTCAAATTTTTCAGTGGAAAATAACAACATAAAGAATCTTGGAAATCAACCCACAATAACAGAATTAATTGAAAATACTACCGTCTCACACATTTCAAAGTTTTCCTAGAAAACTAGTGAAGGGAAAAATTTGGAACTTTTCATACGTAAAGAGGAAGGTTAGGAGCTCAATTTCCTGCAATTTCAAATTTTTCCAGTGGAAAATACCAACACGAATCTTAGAAATCAACCTACAATAACTGAATTAATTGAAAATACAATCTCACACATTTCAAAGTTTTCCTGGAAAACTAATCAAGGGAAAATTTTGAAACTTTTTGCATGTAAAGAAGAAGGTTAGGAGCTCATTTTCCCAAAATTTCAAATTTTTCCACTAGAAAATAACAACATAAAGAATCTTGGAAATCAACCTACAATAACTGAATTAATTGAAAATACAGTCTCACACATTTCAAAGTTTTCCTGCAAAACTAATTAAAGAAAAATTTTGACACTTTTAACATGTAATGATAAAATGTCATGAAATTCAATCGCAAATTATAATCCTATTGGTCGGCCAGTTATCCGACATCCAATAGGATTATAGATTGGTTAATTTATCTGAAGATGAATCAACCAGGCCTTAGACAAATACACGTGTCAAATAAAGACAGTTGGCAAAGCAACGTCTCACATGAGGAGATTTCCAGTACCATAGAAAGAGATGGCAATTTGATAGACAAAAGGCTTGGATGGAATAAGGAGACAGAGAAAAATCGTCCTCCTTCCACCGGCCCGAGGACTCAAGTGAACACTTTTTTAAGAGAATAGAATGCTGGAAATGAAACAGGAGAAATCGTTTTCGTTCTCTTTTTAACTATAGACTTTTCCCAGCAGACATTTCATTCTATTGCATTAAAATTAGCCCGTGAGATGTACTTGTCAAATTTGTATAGTATTTCCAAACTCAATTGGAATAAGGTTAAGGTACCAACTGGTAGCTGACTGAAAATTTCCATAAGAAATGCACTGCCACTGGTCAGCCACCAGTTATGATTTATGTTCACCTTGTTGCAAATGTCTTTGGAAAAACTATACATATGTAAGTAAATACCTATCGTGACGAACTTGGAGATTTCAAATGCAATGACGTATTCCCCATTCACAAATGATCTGCAGTAAGGAGTTCTACTGTAACTAAAAATTTATGTTAGTAAATATGATAAAGAATGAATTTTTGAGCCTCTGCAACTAGAGTCTTGATACCTACTTAAGAATGCAATCATGTATCATTAGTTGTACATTATTCCTCACCTCAACCAACCATTATTTGTATACGAATCCCTTTTTTCCAGAAACGATTTAAAAAGCGAATCGCCGAGAATCGAGTGTAGCACTTGCGGTCAGACGTTCGCCACCAAAACGCAAGTCGACAATCACCTGCGCAGTTTACCAATCCAAGTCGCACGCAAGTGCCTTGCGTGCGGCGACACCGGCAAATATTGCACTCACCCGATAGCAATGAAAACTGCCCGCTGCAAATTCTGCGACACTAACATAACAGAGCCTTATTTATTACACAGATGTTTCCATTTTAATGCAAAAATAAGTCAACCTCAAAAAGAAGTAGATTCAATAGAAGACAAAGATATTTGCATTTACTGCAACAAAACTGTGCCAATAAAGTCTCTTGGCAAGCACGAATCCTGGCACAGAAAGCACGACAAATCAGTAATAAAATTATTAAACCAAAAACCGCCAAGGGTACCGGCAAACACGGAAGCGGCCCTTTGCTCGTACTGCGGCAAAATCAAACCAAACAACCAAATGCGCAGGCACGAATACGTCCAACACATACGAAAATCCGTGCGGAAAGTTTGCGCCGTGTGCGGCATTTTCACGTGCCCCACTTACTACAAAGAGCACATGCGCACGCACGACTCGGAAAAAAGCTTCAAGTGCGACGCATGCGGAAAAGCATTTTTCCGCAGAAAAGCACTTGCAAGACATAAACTGGTGCACAGCGATGTGGCTCAGTACTCGTGCACAATTTGCGGCAAATCGTTTAAAATCAAGTTCAACTTGAGGGTGCACATGCGCACTCATCAGGATGTTAAACCGTTTCCTTGTTCGGTTTGCAAGAAGACTTTTACGACAAAGCAATGGCGGGATAATCATTTGAAGACTCATGGAATTGTTGGCAATAGATGATAGAGTGTTGTTGAGGATTAATATATTTTTTGTTAATAATTGATATTGGAATTATTGGAACCAACGCCTCAATATCAAATTGGTTTGATAATCTTTGGAGTTTTACAAGGTTTTTGTCGTTTTTGGAAAGTTTAAAGCGTGATTCATACGATGCGTACCGGTACCGTACAATCAACGGACAGTAGCGTGTGAATACGTAAGAATATTTGACGTGTTATTGACGCTAGGATGACGTATAGTATGAATCGGGCTTAGTGATGCTCTAATTGCTTGAAAGTTATCGAACCAATTGTAAATCCTATTCCCCATTAGAACAATCTTAACAATCGAAACCATTTTTTTAGGAAAGTTCGACTGACTTTCCGTAAATCCCGTAGTTTAGCTTGCCACGTCTGCTCACAAGAATTCCTCACTGAAAAAAAACTCAAACGTCATTTGGATACAATCGCCGTAGATGTTTCTACAAGCTGCCTGATTTGTAAAAACCTAAACTGTCATCATCCTGCAGGATTCAAGACAACTTCCTGCAACGTATGCCATCAACCAATAAGCGACTTCAAAAATCATTTGTGCTTTCACAGGACTAAAATTAAAAAACTCTTCGAGGAAACAGACATTTGTATATTTTGCTGCAAAGAAGTTATTTTAAGTAATCTTGAAGAGCACGAAAATGCTCATAGAGAGGAGGAAAAACGCAAGGCTAAACAGCAAAGAGAGGCAATGGAAGGCCAAGCTTTATGTACGACGTGCGGTGCTTCCGTGCCTTTCAAAGACCTAAAAAAGCACGAACGCACACATCGGAGACTAGAACCGATCATGTGCACGATTTGCGGTATCACGGCCAAAAACATTTACCAGCACATGGCGACGCATAGCGAAGAACGCCGATTTTCGTGCCAAGAGTGCGGTTTGGCTTTTAAGTACAAGAAAAATCTTGATGTGCACATGTTGGTGCACGAATCAATGGGCAAACACAAATGTCCCACTTGTAGCAAAGCTTTTAAGACTCCGTACAATTTGAAGGTGCATTTGAGGAGCCACGAGGCTGTCAAGCCTTATGCTTGTCAGTATTGCGACAGGACTTTTACAACGAAACAATCGCGGAATAATCATATGAAGACGCATATTATGCAAAATGTTTATAGTTGAAAAATAAAATGTTTTTGACTATGTAGCTGGTGCATTGAAAAGTCCAAAAGGAACTCTATTCCAACCGATATGAGAACCGTTCATTTGTCAAGTAAGATAAACGTTCAACTAGGTGGGCAACTGGAAATTACTGGTTCTCATGTCGGTTGGAACAGAGCTGTAAATCTGGATGTCTATTCTCGAGACCGGGAAATAACGTTCTCGTGAGAACGATGTCAGTAGAAAATTTCTGACGTCAAAACACGTGTCACGCCTTAACTTATAAACAGATCTGTATACAGCTATATAGATCTAAAGGTAGGTCTGTATACAGCTATACAGGTCTAGAGTCAGGTCTTTATACAGCTATACATGTCTGTATAGCTGTCTACACACTTGTTTCTAGACCTGTATAGCTGTATGATCTGTCTATAAGTTAAGGTGTCACACATGCTTTGACGTCAGATTTTGTATTGATTAACTTTCTCTGGAGGACGGAGGGCATAGAATCGGCCAAAAGTATCTAGTGTTATGGAAATAGTAATATAGACAATCATAACATAATCTTCATTTTCATGAAAACGTTGTCCCCCTGTTTCGAGAAGGTTCCAGAAAAAAACCCTCACCCTACACGCTCGTAATTTCAAAAACCTTCGCCCTATGAGCTCGTCATTTTTTCAGGTGGTTCTCGAAACAGAAGAACGACTTTTGCTCTGTCTTTGTCAGTGTTATGGAAATATAAATATGGGTTGGGTAACAAAGGCAGAACCTTCGTTCTCATGACTATGGTGCTCCCATATCTCGAGAATAAAGTCTCTGGGCTGGGACTCTATAATGACTAGAAATATTTTCTCTATCTCTATTAACGTCCCTATTGATTTCGGAAAGAAAGAATAAGACAGCAAGTGCCATAGCGATCCGCGCCTTGGATGTCTATTCTCGAGACCGGGAAATAACCTTCTCCTGAGAACAGTTGCTCCGTCTTTGTCAGTGTTATGGAAATATGAATATGGGCGACGATGACAGAATCTTCGTTCTCATGAGAACGCTGCTCCTTTGATATTTCGAGAATCAGATTCCAGACCATAACCCTCGCCCTACGGGCTCGTAATTCAAAAAACCCTCGCCCTTCGGGCTCGTGATATGTTCAGTTAGTTTTTTCCTTTTGGCCGTTATTCTCGAAACAGGAAAAGAATGTAACAATGTTTTCATAAAACGATTACTCTATCTTTGTTAGTATTATGGAAATATAAATATGGGTAATAAAGATAGAGCTTTCGTTCTCATGAAAATGGTGCTTTCCTCCCTGTCTCGAGAATAAGGACCCTGGACTGGGACTCTGTAACAAATAGAGATATTTCTATTGACGTCCTCTTTCTATTGATTTCGAACAGAGGAGAATAGGACAGCAAGTGCCATAGCAATAGGGATACCGATCTTTATCCGTTACAGAGTCCCATTCCTGAATGTCTATTCTCGAGACCGAGAAATAGTTTTTTCATAAGAACGATTGCTCTGTCTTTGTCAGTGTTATAGAAATATGAATATAGGCGATGATGAGAGAATCTTCATTCTTATGAAAACGCTTCTCCCTTGTCTCGAGAATAGGAGTCCAGAAAAAAAACCTTCACTCTATGGGCTTAAAAAGTGCCATAGTGATAGGGATAACGATATTTTTTCGTTACAGAGTCCCAGTCCTGGATGTTTATTCTCGAAACCGAGAAATAGACTTCTCATAAGAACGATTGCTCCATCTTTGTCAGTATTATGGAAATATGAATATGGACGACTATGACAGAATTTTTGTTCTCATGAGAACGCTGCTCCCATGTTCTGAGAATAGGAACCCTCGCCCTTTGGGCTCGTGATATTTTCAGTTGGTTTTTTCTTTTAGCCTTTATTCTCGAAACAGGGACACAATGTTCTCATGAGAACGATTGCTCTGTCTTTGTCAGTAGGAATATGAATATGAACGACGATGATAAAAACTTCATTCTTATGAGAACGTTGCTGCCCTGTTCCAAGAATAAAAACCCTATTATCATTGAGTTGACTAATCCCTATTCAGACTGTACAAAAATCTAATTTTATTCCAGGTCCAAACAAGAACAATGTCAAGTTTGCCATAAAACCTTCCATTCAAAATCCCTCAAAAAGCGGCACGAAAACAATCTGGAAGCCTTCGTATCGGCCTATTGTAAACCCTGCAATAGTTTCTTTGGATTACACGAATCCAGATTCCATCACTGCTCAGCATTGTTTTGCATGTCTTGCAACGATTACTTGTCTGATTTTCGTAAGCATAGATGTTTGCATGGACATCGACTGCAAAAGCTGGCAAATAACCGTAGAATGTTCTGCAAATCTGAATCTCAAATCGTGCCTTGCAAATCCAAATCCAACCAGGAACATTCTAACACCAATTTGCAGTGTATATTTTGTGAAATCAAATTCAAACGTTTTGATTTACTTAAAAAGCATATCAGAATCAAGCATTTGGAGCAGCTTAAAATACCTCCAATTCCTGCTGAAAACCCTTGCAGATTTTGCCAGATGTCATTCAAAAACAAAAACTGGACCATAAGTCACGAGCGAAAACAGCACGCTTCTGAGCTAATACAATGCGACATTTGCTCAGAAAGCGTCAAAATGGCCGAGGCAAAGTCGCACTACGTCTCGCACAGATCGCACGAAAAATACAAAAACGCCCCACAAAAAATGTGCAACGTTTGCGGCGTAAAAATTAAAAATCTTGAAACACACATGGTGCGGCACGACGATAACAGAAAACATCAGTGCGGCACGTGCCAGAAAAGCTTCAAATTGGCTTGGGATTTGAAGCGGCACATGCTTGTGCACACAAACGAGACAAGGCACGTTTGCCAAATTTGCGGCAAAGGCTTCAAAGTCGGCTACAATTTGAGAGTGCACATGCGCAGCCACCAAACAATCAAACCTTTTGCTTGTTTGATTTGCGACAAGACTTTCACCACCAAACAGTGGAGAGACAATCATTTAAGCTCACATCGATAATAATTTTTATGTTTTTTTTTTTAGTGTAAAAGTACAATGTTGTTTGCTTTGCGATTGTTTGAATTTGAAAAGCTTGATGGAAGACTTCAAAAAGCATTTAGTGCAAGCGCATTTTAGGAAACTTTGCAAAATCAAAATCTCTTGTAGATTTTGCAGTGCCAATAAAAACTTGGCAGTCAGTCATTAGCACTTTTGAGCTAATTGAGTGCGACATTTGCTCAAAAAAAACTACAAATCGGCCAAACAAAGTCGCATTATGTGTCGCATAGGTTGCACGAAAAGTACAAAAACAGGCCGGACTAAGTTTGCAATATTTGTGGGGTCAAAGTTAAAAATCTCGACACGCACATGGTGCGGCACGACGATAACAGGAAACATCAGTGCGGCACTTGCCAGAAAAGCTTCAAGTTGGCTTGGAATTTGAAAAGGCACGTGCTGGTGCACACAAGCGAGGCCGGGAATGTTTACCAGATTTGCGGCAAAGGGTTTAAAGTGGCTTATAATTTGGGAGTGCATATGCGCAATCACGAGGCTAATAAGCCGTTTCAATGTTTGATTTGTGACAAGGCTTTTACTACAAAACAGTGGCGTGATAATCATATGAATTCGCATTAAATAAAATATTTTGAGTTTATGCGTTTGTGACTTTTTCAACAATTCTTTTCAACTTTTGGCTCTATACACTAAATAATTCTGAGATTTGGAGCCGGATTCTATGATACTACATACGCGGATGGAGAAAGAAGAGTAGGTATACATTACAGCTGATGTTACTTTAATGAAAGAACAAAGGAAATACCTCTGTACCTTAGAAAATGCCAAGTTTTTCTATTAAACATGGGACATCCTCAGACATCCCATGGACATCCTATGAACATCCTGGAAATCCTCGTACATACCCGGACATTCTTGAAAATCCTGTAATATCCGACCCCAAGATTGTACACTAGACATCCCTACCAGTTCATTTCTTGACGCCGAATTTTCGAAATGCAATTTTTCCTAAACCCTTGTATCTTCTAATGTCGGGGGTTTCAGCTACTCAAATATCCGAAAAGTCATCATGTCATAGCTGTCTTAAAAAGACCATTTTATCAATAAACTATTTTTCAGGAAACCAAACAACGAGTATAACAAGCTCAATTGTCAATTTTGCCACATGAAATTCTTCTATGCCAAACCATTAACCCGTCACTTGAACTTTGTTCACCCCAACAAAATGGTTTCCTGTGAGCTTTGTGATAAAAAGATGCTCGTGGGCAAGCTTCACAATCACCGCCGTTGGCACAAGGACAAGTACAAACCGCACAACTTGCCGGACAGAGTTTGCGACATTTGCGGTTTTACGTCAAAATACCTTGGACGACACATGGAAAATCACAAAAATGAGCGCAAGTACAAGTGCGACATGTGCGATAAAAGTTTTAAACAAAAGCGCACTTTATGCAAGCACAAATTGGTGCACACTGATGTGATTCAGGTTATGTGCAGTGTTTGCGGTAAAGGATTTAAAGACAATTATAATTTAAAAGTGCATTTGAGGTCGCATGAAATTATAAAGCCGTTCCTATGCGTGATTTGCCAAAAAACTTTTACAACAAAACAATCAAGAGATAATCATAAAAAGAATCATTAAAATAATAATTATTGTTTATTTTAGTCAAAAGCTTCAATGTTCCAAGTGCAATTTGTACTTTAAAATGCCCCAAGTTTTATTGGAACACGAAAAATCATGCTCCGGAAGAAGGAACTTTAGGGAAATTGCAAAAAAATGTCAGAACCAATTTGGATTTAATTGTCTCGATTGCGGACATTTTTTTGTCAAAAAAGAATACCTTTGGAAGCACATCAAAAGCGTTCACAATCGGCAAGAGATGATCGAGTGCAAACAATGCGACAAAGTCTTCAACACCAATGGAGGTTTAATTTACCATCTGAAAACAATCCACATGGGCTTCAAAAGGAACTTCACTTGCGACATATGCGGCAAAATCTACCAAAACAAACAAGTAGTGGCAAGACATAAATTACTAGTCCATTCAAAAGATTTCAAAATCATTTGCCAAGTATGTCAGAGGGGTTTTTTTTCGGAAAATGAATTAAAAAAACACATTCAAACTTTTCACGAAGCAAAAGAATTACTTCCTTGTCCTATAGAGGGATGCAACAAAATATTTCAAGTCAAAGAAAGCTTAAAGTATCATGTGGAAACTGTACACAATCCAAGCGAAGACAAACCTGACTTGATTTGCGTCCAATGTGGTAAACTTTTCAATCATCCAAAATCCTTAAAGAATCACATGCATCAACACAGACGGTGCAAAACTTTCCCTTGCAGCGTTTGCGGCAAAATCCTAACATCTCAGGCCAGTTTAAGAGACCATCTACGCATCCACACTGGAGAAAGACCTTTTATATGCGAACTCTGCTCGCAAGAATTCAGCAAATTGCAATCCCTCAAGAATCACATGGTGGTTCATACTAAAGAGAAACGGTTTTCTTGTAAGCTGTGCGACACTCAGTTCACTCAGAGGGGGCCTCTTGCTAGGCATATGCAAAGATTTCATCCTGATGTGCAACAATTGACTCGGAGGGGTACCCAAGCTGATTCAGGCCCAATGGTGGCTGAAGAGTGCGACACTTTTGCTAGACATGTAGAAAAATCTCAACCTGATTCAGGCTCAGTGGTGGATGGTCAACAAGAGTGTGACTTTCAGTTTACTTAGACATGTACAAAGACTTAATTTTGATTCAGGCTTAGGGCAACAAGAGTGCGACACTGAATTCTCTCCAATGACCAGTGGTGGCTCGCCAACACTTATTACTTAACAGGTCCGTTTACAATTCGACAACTAGCATTACACACCTGAACTTGCTACTAATCAAAGTGTGAACAGGTCTTAAAGGCCGGTATACACTTTGATTAGTAGCAAGTGCAGCTGTGTAGCGCTAGTGTTGTGCAAACTGCAAGTACTGCAAGGACTGTGTCAAATAAATCAAATCGTGTTTTATTTTCTGTTTAGAAACACAACCTTGGTTTGCACCCACCTTTTTAATGGAGGTTTACCGATTAAAGTGACATTTTCACATGTAAAAATGTCATTTTAATCATTGATTATCGTTAAACCTTTTTTAAAATGATCGGGGTAAACGGCCATTAACATTTGACACAAATGTAAAACAGCCTTAAGTACACTTGGACTGTGTCAACTGGGTTTAACAAAATTCTTATAACAAGGCTGAGACTCTATCTCTATTGACGTTTCCTCTTTATTTATTTCTAAAAGAGAGAAGAAGATGGCAATAGGTGTCATAGCGACGAGGATAACGATCTACTCTATCTGTTACAAAGTCCCAACCGAGATCTCTTAAACAGGTATTTGATGAACCTTTGGTCTGTTCAAAATTGAATTTTTAATCATTCCTGGTTCTTGATTGGCTCAGAAATTGAATTTTTTAATTTTCCCGGTTCTTGATTGGTTTAGAAATTCAAATTTTGAATATCCTCGGCTCTTAATTGGCTTCCAAGGTCAATTTTTGAATTTCCCCGGTGCTTATATGATTGAGTTTGAAATTGAATGTTTGATTATTCCTGGCTCTTGATTGGCTTCAATTTGAATCATTCTCGGCTCTTGATTGGCTTAGAAATTGAATTTTTCAATTTTTCTGGCTCTTGATTGGTTTAGAAATACAAATTTTGAATATTCTCAGTCTTGATGAGCTTCCAAAGTCAATTTTTGAATTTTTCCGGTTCTTATAAAATTGAATTTTTGATCATTCCTGGTTCTTGATTGGCTCAGAAATTGAATTTTTTAATTTTCCCGGTTCTTGATTGGTTTAGAAATTCAAATTTTGAAGATCCTCGGCTCTTGATTGGCTTCCAAGATCAATTTTTGAATTTCCCCGGTGCTTATATGATTGGGTTTAAAATTGAATGTTTGAATATTCCTGTAGGCTCTTGATTGGCTCTAATTTGGATCATTCCCGGTTCTTGATTCGCTTAGAAATTGAATTTTTCAATTTTCCTGGCTCTTGATTGGTTTAGAAATTCAAATTTTGAATATTCTCAGCTCTTGATGGGCTTCCAGAGTCAATTTTTCTGGTTCTTATAAAATAGAATTTTGGATTATTCCTGGTTCTTGATTGAATTTAAATTTTAATCATTCTTGGCTCTTGATTAGCTTAAAAATTGAATTTTTTAATTGACTTTGGAAGCCAATCAAGAGCCGAGAATATTTAAAATTTGAATTTCTAAACCAATCAAGAGCCGGGAAAATGAAAAAAAAAAAACAGTTTCTAAGCCAATCAAGAGTCAGGAATGATCAAAAATTTAATTTTAAAACCAATCAAGAGCTGGGAAAATTCAAAATTTGAAGTCAATCCAGAGTCGGGAATAATGGAAAATTCAATCTAAACCAATCAAGAGCCAAGATAATTGAAAAATTCAATTTCTTAACCAATCAAGAGCCGAGAATGATCAAAATTAAACCCAATCAAGAGCCAGGAATAATCAAAAATTGAATTTTAAACCCAATCATAAGAGCCGGGAAAATTAAAAAATTAACTTTGGAAACCAATCAACAGCCGAGAATATTCAAAATTTGAATTTTTAAACCAATCAAGAGCTGGAAAAATTTAAAAATTCAATTTATAAGCCAATCAAGAGTTGGGAATGATCAAAAATTCAATTTTAAACCCAATTGGAACAGACCAAACGTTCATCGAGCACCTCTGTTTAAGAGATTTGAGTTGGGATTCTGTAATCAATAGAGTAGAGCGCTATTCCAGCACTTATTGTCGTCTTCTTTTCTTTTTTAGAAATAAAAAGAGAAGGAACGTCAATAGAAATAGAGTTACAGAGTCCCAGCCCTGTTATAAGAATATTGTTAAGCCTGGTTGACACAATCTAAGTGCACTTAAGGGCAGTTTACATTTTATTAACTGTTAAGTGTTACTAAATAGAAAAATAGAACACGATTTGATTTACTTGCACTTGACACTTGACCGATTTGTTTACAATTCGACAACTAAACACTAGCACTACACATCTGCATTTGCTACTAATCAAAGTGTGAACCGGTCTTTAGACCGAAGGCTGGTCAACAAGAATGCCTCTTGAGACATGTACAAAGTTTTTAACCTAATTCAAGCCCAATGTTAACAACAGTATAATCGATAATAATACAACTTATTTTTGATGGTCATAGATAGTTTTTTTCAAATTCCAATCAACGTTGCTGGGGCATTAAAAGGCCCAACGACTATAAATCTTCAGTAATTAGCTAAACAGTTTTTTTTGTAGGTTATTTAGTGTCAAGTTTCCCTGTTCGAAATGCCCTTTGCTATTCGACATGTACGATTCCGTAATGGATCACGAAGAAAACTGTAGCGGAAGAAAAGACTTCAATAAATTAGTTCTCAAATACAAATGGAACAACAAATACACTTGTCCCTATTGCGACAAAGCTTTCAAATTTTTGTATTCCTGTAAAAGACACATACAGCTGATTCATTATCGACAAGAGACAAATCAATGTAAACTGTGCACAAAGGTGTTTATAACAAACAAAGGCCTGGAAGAGCATATGAAAATTTTTCACATAGGTTTAGATGCGCCTAAGTTTGATTGCGACATATGCGGCAAACCTTATATGTGCAAACGCGGAATGGAAAAACACAAATTACAAGTCCACGTAAAAGAATTCAAGATATTTTGCCGCCAGTGCAATAAGGGCTTTTTCTCCAAAGGAGATTTGAGAAGACACCGGCGCGGAGTTCACAAGAAGGCCAAGGAACTTATTCCTTGCACACAAGAAAATTGCAACAAATTCTTCAAAATACAATCCAGCTTACAGTATCATTTGGAAACTGCTCACAACAACGACCAAAATAAACCCAATTTTGCCTGCACTCAGTGCGACAAAACTTACAACCACCGTAAAGCTTTAAAAAGGCATCTAAACGATCACAAAAACAGCAAAACTCATCCTTGTACAGTTTGCGACAAAGTCTTGACGTCCAAACGGGGCTTAATCAGTCATATGCGCCTTCATACCGGAGAAAAACCTTTCATTTGCGATCACTGCGGCAAAAGGTTTCACTTGGCTGACACACTTAAAGCCCACTTGGTTACTCATACCAAAGAGAAAAACTATATTTGCAATATTTGTAATAAGAAATATACTCAACTAACTCCCCTATCAAGACATATGCGAAAGTTTCACCCTAAGCATAATCTAGATTCACGTCCAATTTCCAGTCAAAAAACACAAGCTGCAATCGATTGCAACGAGCCTATCGAATGTATTTCATATGAGTTAGAGGTAGATGGATGCCTCTAATACCTCTGATGCATCCCCACCACACTTGGCCCATGGGGAATCTTGTCATCAGTTCAAGCTAAGGTTCCTAAAGTTGTCTAATATTGGTAAATGGATGATGACATCATTATTGTTTGTACTACATTGAGGCACCCCAGATGAAAGTTATCAGGCAACCTATCTCTTGAGTTCAGACGCTTATCCGATTAACTTCAAATGAAAGATCACGTGAGTTTCTGTCGACAATGTCATCTTTTGGCTCGCGGAGGACTAACCAAAGTCGTCTATTATATGAATGAGATGCGGTGTTTATAAGGGTGTTCATTTGTACTTGCTTTACCGCAGTGATTTAGATTTAGCGAGCAGATTCCACCAAATCGAAATCGAGTCTAAAAGCATAACCGAAACAGCGTTTAATGTAAAAGCATGGACATTATGAATTCTCACGAATGCCTTTCGGACTAAAAAATGTTCCTTCAACCTTTCAAAGAGCTATAAAAATAATTACATCGTAAAATAATATGTATAGTCTATATAAACGACATAATTATATACTCAACAACACCTTGATTCTCTGCTCGAAAAATCAGAAAGATCTGCTTTTAATAACGCCGATCTACTCTTGAGATCTGCTTGAAGCAAGAAAAGCAGTACAAATGAACACATTATATCTGTGTTAAGATGTTTTGGGTTCTATGACTGTTACATTATGTATTTATAAGTATTACTCGATTAACTGTAATGTTATTATTGTGCTACTGTATTTAAAATTCATCCAATTTGGTACTTAATCTTTGTATTAGTAGGTTTTAATTGCATGATAGTATTTTTAGTATAAGAAAAACCACCGGAATGTGGTTCGTTTTCAATTGTGCCTTATGTTTTGCTACTTATTTAAAAATAAATGCATTTATTTATGAAATTTGTTTTATTTCATAATAATAGGCGAGTTCGGCTCGAAGCCACATGTGAATCAGTTTTGTTACTTCATATAGAAGATTCTGTCAACAGTGTCAACTCGTGGAAGATCAACCGAACTCGCCTACTATTACTGAGATATTACCGTAGATGGCGTAGTTGCCAGTGGCGTGCATATATTCAACGCTTCCTATAATTTAATAATTATTTTTAGTATTATACCACAAGTGCTACAATGTATCAAATGCCTAGGAATGTTCAAAATGCAACAGGTCCTAACTGAGCACGAAAAAACTTGCGACGGAGGAGAAAGCTTCAATATTTTAGTATACAAATCGAAAAACCCAAACGAAGATTCCTTCACTTGTCCGCATTGCGGCAAGGTTTTCACAAACCTGGGTTACTTCAGAACGCACTTGAAAGTCGTACACTATGGACGACAAAAGAGCGAATGCAAGTTGTGCAACAAAGTGTTCACCAGACACGCGACCCTGGTCGGTCACATGAAAAAAATTCACATGGGATTGAAGCAAAAAACATTTTCTTGCGACTTATGTGACAAGGAGTTCTCTAACAAATATATGTTACAGAGGCATAAAACTCAGATTCACACCAAGGCATTCAAAATATTTTGCCACTTGTGCCAAAAAGGTCTTTTTTCAGAGGGAGATTTGAAAAGACACATTGAAGCAATTCACGAAAAAAAAGAGGAACTATTCCCTTGCTCCCTGGAAAATTGCAAAAAAATATTCAAATCAAAAACTACTCTACAATACCACATAGAAACTGCACACAATACCGACGAAAGTAAACCTGAATTGGTTTGTTATAAGTGCGGCAAAATCTACAACCATCCCAAAACGTTGGCAGGGCATATGGCCAAACACAAAAGAAATAAAATTCATCCGTGCACCATATGCAAAAAAGTACTCACCTCACGAGCGAGTCTTGAGAATCACTTGCGGATTCATACCGGGGAGAAACTGTTCGTTTGCGAACTGTGCGGACAAAAATTCAATGTGGCCAATACTCTCAAGAATCACATGCACACTCATACTAATGAAAAACCATTTGAGTGCAATGTTTGTCAGAAGAGGTTCAGTCAAAAGACACCGTTGAACAGACACATTCGGAGATTTCATGTTTGAGTTTTTTAATTAATTGGCTTGTAGTATTTTGTATTTTGCTTTTGTATTACTTTTTAACATTAAAGTTCTATTCTTGATGGAAATCGAAGTCATCTTTGTCTAATTTCAAACATAAATAGAAAGCTATCAGTGCGGTGTCACACTATGCGTTTTGACTGTATGAACTCTACTTGTCACACTATCCCATCGGGATCCGTTTTAACGGGATGCGTGTGCTCTAGAACGGAGGATTTATTAGGCAAGGTGGTGGATCGTTAATATTGGATTCACCCTTAAAATTTGGAACGAGAGTCGAGTAAAAGGTTTGCAAAGTTCGAATGTAGGACTATGTATTTTTTCGCATAATACTTGTTTACCGTGGAGGCACTTAATAATTGGATCTACAACAAACATGATGAAATTTAATGAAACAACAATTCGCGAACTCAGAAATCTCTGAAGAATTGCTGCGTTCGAACTGTCAGATGTCACTACAAGCATACAACGGCACGTGTTTTGGGTGCGGTTCAATGCTGTGTGTGATAGCTCTCATTTAATACAATGGGTTTGTATCATCCCGGAAAACCGGAGCGTGCTTGCCGCAATGCTATATGTGACACCGCACTTAAATTTGTGGTAGGAGTGAAGCACGCCCCTCTTTTAATCGTAAGGGGCATTGTTTTCAGTGATTTAGATTTAGCGAGCAGATTCCACCAAATCGAAATTGATCCCAAAACAGCGTTTAATGTAGAGCATGAACATAACGAATTCTCACGAATGCCTTTCGGACTAAAAAATGCTCCTTCAACCTTTCAAAGAGCTATAAAAACGTATTAAAAGAATTACATGGTAAAATATATCTAGTCTATATGGACGACATAATTATATAGGTACTTAACATCACTTCAACAACCCCTTGATTCTCTGCTCGAAAAATCAGAAAGATCTGCTTTTAATAACGCCGATCTACTCTTGAGATCTGCTTGAAGCAAGAAAGGTAGTACAAATGAATACCATATATCTGTGTCAAGATGTCTTGGGTTCTATGACTGTAACATATGTATTTGAAAGTATTATTCGACTGAGTGTAATGTTATAATTGTGCTACTTCATCCTCTTTGCATTAGTAGGATTTAATTGCATGATAGTATTATTAGTATAGAAAAAACCACCGAAATGTGGTTCGTTTTCAATTGTGCCTTATGTTTTGCTACTTACTTAATATTAGATGTATTTATTTATGAAATTTGTTTTATTTCTTAATAATAGGCGAATTCGGCTGATCCAAATGTGATCAGTTTTGTTACTTTAAATAGAAGATAACGTGAGCTTCTGTCAACAGTGTCAACTTGTGGAAGATCAACCGAACTCGCCTACTAATACTGAGATATTACATTATTGGTGGGATTAGATCATGCCCCTTCTAACCGTAGAGGGAGTAGTAGCCAGTGGCGTGCACATATTCAACGCTTCCTATAATTTAATAATTATTTTTAGTATTATACCACAAGTGCTACAATGTATCAAATGCCTAGGAATGTTCAAAATGCAAAAGGTCTTAACTGAGCACGAACAAACTTGCGACGGAGGAGAAAGCTTCAATATTTTAGTATACAAATCGAAAAACCCAAACGAAGATTCCTTCAATTGTCCGCATTGCGGCAAGGTGTTCACAAACCTGCGTTACTTTAGAACGCACTTGAAAGTCGTACACTATGGACGACAAAAGAGCGAATGCAAGTTGTGCAACAAAGTGTTCACCAGACACGCGACCCTGGTTGGTCACATGAAAAAAATTCACATGGGATGGCAAAAAACATTTTCTTGCGACTTATGTAACAAGGAGTACTGTAACAAATATATATTACAGAGGCACAAAGCCCACGTTCACATCAAGGAATTCAAAATATTTTGCCCCTTGTGCCAAAAAGTCCTTTTTTCAGAAGCGAATTTGAAAAGACACATTGAAGCAGTTCACGAAAAAAAAGAGGAACTATTCCCTTGCTCCCTGGAAAATTGCAAAAAAATATTTAAATCAAAAACTTCTCTACAATATCACATAGAAACTGCCCACAATACCGACGAAAGTAAACCCGAATTGGTTTGTTACAAGTGCGGCAAAATCTACAACCATCCCAAAACCTTGGCAGGGCATATGGGCAAACACAAAAGAAACAAAATTCATCCGTGCACCATATGCAAAAAAGTACTCACTTCACGATCGAGTCTAGAGAATCACTTGCGGATTCATACCGGGGAGAAACTGTTCGTTTGCGAACTGTGCGGACAAAAATTCAATGTGGCCAATACTCTCAAGAATCACATGCGCACGCATACTAATGAAAAACCATTTGAGTGCAATGTTTGTCAGAAGAGGTTCAGTCAAAAGACACCATTGACCAGACACATTCGGAGATTCCATATTTAGGTTTGCTTGTAGTATTTTGTATCCTGCTTTTATATTACTAATTGACATTAAAATTTTGGGAATCAAAGTTATCTTTGTCTAATTTCCAATAGTAGATATAGAGAAGTAGAAAATTCCAGCAAACGAAAGCTATCCGCAGCCAACATTAGTGCGGTGTCACAGTATGCGTTTTTACTGCTGCGTCAAGACGAGATGCGTTTTGATTGGATGACCTCTACTTGTCTTACTATCCCATCGGGATCCGTTTTAACTGGATGTGTGTGCTGCAGCGTTTAATGTAGAGTATGAACATTACGAATTATCACGAATGCCCTTTGGAGGAAAAATGCTCCTTCAACCTTTCAAAGAACTGTAGAAAACGGAGGATTTATTAGGAAAGGTGGTGGATCGTTAATATTGGATTCTCCCTTTAAATTTGTAACGAGATTCGAGTAACAGGTTTGCAAAATGTACGACTGTGTATTTTTTCGACCATAATACTTGTTTACCGTGGAGGCACTTAATAATTGGATCTACAACAAACATGATGAAATTTAAAGAAACAGCAATTCACGAAATTAAAAATCTCTGAAGAATTGCTGCGTTCGAACCGTCAGGTGTGACTACAAGCATATAACAGCACATGTTTTCGGTCGTCGCCGCACCATGATACGGTTGCATCCGGTTTGAGTACGGTTCAACGCTGTGTGTGACAGTTCTCATTTAATACAATGGGTTTACATCAATGCAGCCGCAAAAACGCTATGTGTGACACCACATTTACATTCGTGGTAAGAGTAAAGCGCGTCCCCTTAATCGTAAGGGGCGTTGTTTCCAGTGATTTAGATTTAGCCACCAAATCGAAATCAATCCCAAAAGCGTACCTAAAACAGCGTTTAATATAGAGCATGGATATTACGAATTCTCACGAATGCCTTTCGGACTAAAAAATGCTCCTGCAACTTTTCAAAGAGCTATAGAAAACGTATAAAAGAATTACATGATAAAATATGTCTAGTCGACTTATTCTATTCAATTTGAAAATCCTGTGTGAATTTCTCCACAAAACTGTTAAATTCCTTGGACATACCATATCATTAACTTCCATCCTACTTACATTGTTTTCATTTTCAGAGGAAAACGTCGTTGTTCGAAATGCAAGCTGATGTTTCACATGAGCCAAATTCTATTCGAACACGAACAATTGTGTACGGGAAAACCTTTGCGAGATATGAAATTTGAAAGCCAAGATGGCAAATTGCTCTGTCCCGTGTGCGGAAAAAGCTTCGCGAAAGCCAGCTATGTTCTCTCTCATATAAAACAGATTCACCTACGACTGGAGATGATCCAATGTAAAGACTGCGACAAATGTTTCACTACAAATGCGTCATTGAGGATGCACAATGAAACATTTCACTCGGGCTCGAAAATGAAAGGCTTACCTTGCGACATGTGCGACAAATTTTTTCCGAAAAAATACTCACTAGAAAGGCACAAAGCTTTAGCTCACATTAGGAAATTTGACATATTTTGCCAAATATGCCAAAAAGGCTTTTACTCAGTAGCAGAATTGAAAAGGCATTTGCAATTCAAGCATGATGAAAGCTCTGTAATGTACCCGTGCACCGAAGCAGGATGCGCTTCAAGCTTCAAACGTAAACAGAGCTTAAGGTACCACGTGGAAACCAAACATAGCAAAGTGGACGACAAACCTGAAATGGTTTGTTACAAGTGCGGCAAAGTTTACACTCATCGTAAAACTTTACAAAAACACTTGGTCGATCATGGAAGATTGAAAAGGTACCCGTGTGCTTTGTGCCAAAAAATTTTAAGTTCACCAAGGAACTTGAGAAGTCATTTACGTACTAATCATGGACCGACATAGAGAAAATGTTTAATAAATAGTCATTACCTGTAAAGACATTTTTTTAAATAATTATGGTCTTACACCCTCTGTTGATATCTCATATCCCAAATAATCAAATGGCTTAGGGTAAGTCCAGCGTTATTAAATACTTTTAAGATTTCTAATAAAGCTCTGTATCCATCCTCAAAGTCAACTGCCGGAATCAAGAATCAAGATGTCATCCATGTAGGCTAGTGCTGTATTAAATCCTAACGATCAAAGAACTAGGTTAATATTTCGCTGAAATACAGCTGGAGCATTTGCTAATCCAAATGGTATTATGCCCCATCCATTTTGTTCTAGACTCTGCAGCCATTGGTAGGTATATTGATGCCATCTCAAGTGCTTGGCGAACATTATGGGGGGACACTGTATAATATGTGTATGTCCATGCTGTTCATAATTTTTAAAAAATGCTATAGCCTCAATTTGTCAATAAATTACTATATTAATTTTTAGGATTAACCTTTGCTGTAAAAAATGCGAACTAGATTTCAACATACCTGAAATCTTAATGGAGCACGAACAATCGTGTACAGGTACAAACTTGCTGCACCTAAAAATCGAACACCAAGACGGAAAATTCTTTTGTCCGGGATGCGGCAAATCCTTTCCGACAAAACGCTACGTCAGAAATCACATACGGCTTGTGCACTTGAAGCACCAGATGATCAAATGCCAGGAATGTCCTCACGTTTCTTCGGCGCCTTGGATGATGAAAAACCACGTCAAAAGGATGCATCGGGGTTTTAGGACGAATTTCGTTTGCGATTTGTGCGAAAAAGTATTTCAGAGCAACTGTTACTTGGAAAAACACAAATTAGTGGTGCATCTTAAGAAGTTTAAGGTATTTTGCGATGTTTGTCAGAAAGGCTTCGTCAATGATAAAGACCTTGGCAAGCATTTTCAAGCAGTTCACGATCCAAATTTCGAAATTTTCCCATGTCCGCAGGAAGGTTGCGGTAAAATATTCAAATCAAAATATGACTTTACTTATCATTTGGAAACCAAACATATACGGGACGAAGACAAGCAGGATTTGATTTGTTGCCAGTGCAGCAAGTCTTATGACAATCCCAGGTCCTTAAAAACCCACTTAAACAAACACAAAAAATGCAAGACATTCCCTTGTGAGATTTGTAGTAAAATTTTGACGACGAATAGCAGTTTGAGGAGGCATTTGCGGACGCATACGGGAGAAAGACCGTACGTGTGCGACTACTGCGGACAAAGCTTTAGGATTTTGAAAGTTCTCAAAAGTCATATTTTGACTCATACTAAAGAAAAACCGTTTTCTTGTAAGGTGTGCGATAGCAAGTTCACGCAACGGAGTCCGTTGACTCGACATGTTCGTAAGTTTCATCCTGAAGTTGCTGGAACTTTCTAAATAAACTAGGTACTAGAGAATTTCCATAAATTCAAACAGCTTGGAAAGTGTTGTTTTTACTCAAAAACTATTATTTGTTTGATTATTACTGGCTATTGTCGTTTTTGTCTAATTTCAAATAGCAGACAAAGAGAAATAGAAAATTATAGAGTCACTGACATGTATATGTTGTCTGGTAATGGGTAATTTGATGACGCATGTGGGGTGCCTTATGGAGATATCCATTAGGTTGAGGCACCCCAGATGACGTTATAAAATTATCAGGGCTGGAACTCTGTAATCCCTATGGCACTTGCTGTCCTCTTATCTCTTCTCGAAATCAATAGAAAGAGGACGTCAATAGAGATAGAGAAAATATCTCTATTTATTACAGAGTCCCAGTCCAGGCAACTTAGGTACCTCTTTCAAACAACCTTGTACGCAACCAACATTACATTTGTGGTGGGAATAGAGCATGCTCCCTTGATCATAGGAGGGCGTTGTATCCAGTGGCGTGCATACATAAATTTTTAAATTAATTCCTTCGTTACTTTATGGACACACTGTAACTGTATATTTAACATTTAAGAATAAAAAAAATTAATGCTCAAGCGACTCTTTACCTACTAATGCAAGCCTACTAACAGACCTAATTATTATTAAACCAACAACTACCAATATTTCTAGGCTAAAATATGACAAAATAAAAGTAGTATCCGTCCGTGATCTACTAAAATCTGTCAAGCCTCAAACCAACAACAAACACTTTTGTCCAGTGTGCAATGAACTTATGGCAGATAGAACTCAATTAACTCAACATCTAAAGCGCATGCACAGCTTCAATCCAGGTCCCAAAATCGAATGTCCGCAATGTCAGAAACTCCTCAGCTCCAAAACCGATCTGCAACAACACATCAAACGAATACACGAAGGCCTAGCGCCCACAAACCACTGCGACATTTGCGGCAAACTCTTGAAAAGCTCCTTGAACTATCACAAACGCATAGTGCACACGAAACAGTTCAATTTCTGGTGCGAATATTGCGGCAAAGGATTTGTGAATCAGAGTTTGTTCAGGAACCACCAGAAGAATGTACACGAGCAGTCGTTTACTTGTCCCGAGGCGGGATGCGGCAAAGTTTTCAAGTCGATGACTTCGATTAAGTATCACAGGGATCATTCGCATTCGACGATTTTGTGTCCCCAATGCGGACAGATTTTTACAAGGACTGGTTTGTTTAGTCTTCATTTGAGAAGGCATGTTAAGGATAGTGAGATGATTAAGAGATTAGCACTAGGAGGCGTATAGAATTTCAATATACAATATTTTTGTTATTAGTGTGGTGTCACACATAGCGTTTTCACCGCTGCGGCAAGAACGCTCCGGTTTGCCGGGATGTTGTAAACCCATTGTATTAAATGAGAGCTGTCCAATGACCTATTATCACAGATAGACAGAGTATTCCATTCATAAAATACTATTTTTTGTTGTGTTGACAACATGTTTATAGTGCCAGGAAGATTTGGGGTGCGGGCGGTCCATGGTGGGGATAAGTCGCCCGATCTAAGTCCGGCCTCAACAGCTGTTCCCTGCCATGTACCAGGCTCAATTGGTCCCGCCCCAAAACCAAAACGATGATATTCGAAAAGTATTCCAGATTAAAACAAACATATCTTATGTATCGGTCTTTTTTTAACATATACTAATCATCATCGCATAGGATAGAGACAACAAGATACTCTGGGCCAGAACGGAACGTATTACTACGACAAACGGGACGCGGAGTTTAGTCTAGTGCTGTGTTGCCAAGTGTAATTGAAAGGCAGGACTTTATACCTGCGTTAGAAAGAGAAAATAAATATTCCTACGACTAAATGTGGCATTTTAGTAGTGGGGGAATTTGGTTAGGATAGAAAGAATCGGACATGTTGTCAACATATATTTTTGTTTATAAATGCGTCTATCTGTGATAATAGGTCATTGGAGCTGTCACACACGAATGGATCCCGCTGGAATAGTAGAGTTAATCCGGTCAAAACGCATCTCTTCTTGCCGCAACATTAGAAACGCATAGTGTGACACCGCACTTATATTTTTCTATTAAACTATCAAATTATCAATGAGCGTTTTATTATGTTTTTACATCTTTTAGTTCAAATAAAGCATTATGTTTTTACTCAAATATTTTTTAGCCATATAAAATCTGAATTAGATTCACTGTGGGAGAATGAATATTCAAATGTTCTAGAAGCACCATGGATAATGAACTCAGGAATATCACGCAGATACCCGAACAAACCACAAACCCAATTGAATTTAATGGTATCCCAAAGTAAACTCAATCCAGACCTATACATATGCCAATTATGTCAAAAGAATTTCCATCAAAGTGCCCATTTGCATCGGCATTTGAAATTCGTGCACGGAATCAACCGAGGGCCAAGATTACCTTGTCCCGAGTGCAACAAAACTTTCATGTCCAAGGAATCTTTGCAAAGGCACAACAATACGCTGCACAAAAATCTATGGTCGACAGTTCAGTGCGACATTTGCGGTAAAATACTCAAAGGACATTTGGATTCTCATATAAAATATGCGCACACGAAGGAGTTTCATTTCTATTGCGAAAGTTGCGGCAAAGGATTCGTGAACGGGGGCCAATTGAAGTACCACAAAATTACACAACACGAAAAGCAATGTCGTTTGTTAAAGTGTCCCGAAGAGGGTTGCGGAAAGATGTTCAAAGGAGCACCCGGACTTCAATATCATCAAAAAGCAGCGCATACGGAAAAAAACGCAAATATTGTTTGTTCTGAATGTGGCAAGTCTTATAAGCATATCATGATGTACAAAATACATAAGAGGAAGCATAAAGACCATAAAACTTATCCGTGTAAGATTTGCGATAAAGTGCTGACTGCTAGGAGTAGTTGGCTGGATCATACACGAATGCATTCGGGAGAAAAACCGTTCCAGTGCCAGCAATGTGAGAAACAATTCTCGTCCATTAAGTATTTGAAAGTTCACAGTGTCGTACATACAAAAGAAAGGCCATATAAGTGTAATGATTGTGACAAATCTTTTACTCAAAGAGGAACATTGACTTTACATAGGAAGAAATTTCATTCGCTTGATCAAAATTAATAAACAGTTAATTAAATGGGTGTTTGATTATTGTATTCTGTAGCATTTTCAGTCTACATTACTTCTTAAACTTTCCATCTCAGGTTCAAATGCCTTTTTATAAACAGTTGGAAGCATCCTTATATGATTTTGATGTGTATACAGAATTGCATCATTTCCTGCCTCGTCTTCCAATAAACTTTTTCTTATTTTAGTGTTTGACATGGCTTATGCAAGTTCATACTAGTATTTTTCGGCTCTGCTAAGTTGCTGGTTGGTTCCGAGTTGGAGTCGTTCATAGATTGTCCAAATATTCCAATCTTAAAGTTTCCCTCTAAGAAAAACACATTCCTGACTGGCAAGACAAACCTTGCTTGGCATTATTTCAAAAAAGTACCTCCTGAACATTGACAATGCCAATTTGGAATCTAAGTACTTGAAAATGAAGTTATGGGTGAGTCAAAAGCTACTTCACCAAATAAAACATACGAATACCTAATCGCCATTGCTGTTTTCCATTCCTTGGAAACGAAGTATGAGCTTCTAATAAAAGAAAACCAAATACTTGAATAACAACTTACCACCCTTCAAGTTTCAATAAACGAAATCCTCATTGGAGTAAAGAGAAATTCGACTAAGACCGTTAAAAACAACATTCCACATAACACTATTGCCAATCCTGCCTCGGACAATGCGGAATACTCTAATGTTGTAATCCAGCTCTAAATTTATTCAGTGTTTATAAGCCTCCTTAAATGATTGATAAGCAATAAGAAAATCATCTGAATATGAAAAACAAAAACTTAAATTTCGTGTAACTTCATGCAAAAAGCGCTGAAAAGTCTGTGGTCAATTGTTTAAACCAAATGGCATGATTATATATTCATATAACCTGAAAACTGTACAAATGGCAGTTTTAGGAATGTCTGCAGTATTGATATATAAATAGATATCCCACCAAACGTGGATATTAACAGTGCTATTTACACATTTCTCATAAAATTCTGACATTTTTGTTCTGTAATGTAAGGTTGTGGTCCGAATATAACCAGGATTATGGATGGTTATGGTTTCATGGTCCGAAAGTAATCAAAATACTCTGGTTTTTTGAAAAGTAGTTACTAACATAAGTAGAATTGATTAGACAGGCAGGACTAGGCCAAAAAGGTTCGTCCCTGCAAGTTCCTTCATATTATTGAAATTTGTGCATCTTCGGCCGCTCGGCTATACTCGGCTTCGACAGCACTATTGGTGTCGTCTGGATTTTGTCTTTCGGTGTTAAAGTTGCTCAATATATTGGGATATAGAATAGCATCCATAATTCATTGGAATGTAGCCGGCGCGTTCTTCAAACCAAAGGGCATGCGCAAGAATCCATAATGCCCGTTTTCTGTGCTGCATGCGGTTTTTTCGATGTCGTTTTCATGCATCTGGATCTAGCGGATCTGGAGATTCGTTATGTTGGGTATAATATGTTTCTGTCATCTAAGCTTTTTGTATTAAAGCCCTTGAAATTTTTTATACTATACTAAACAAAAAAAATATTCAAATTGTTTGTCAAAGTGGGTATAACGTGAGAGAATATATCCTCGTCAAGGCTTTTCACATACAATCTTATTAGAGAAATTTGGTTACGTTTCTCTTAGGGATCGCCATGATTACCATTATTTGATCATTTTGAATTTATAACTGATTGGGCGAAATTATGGAAAATTTAAATTAACATTACCCAAAAACGTAACATACATATTGACTGGACGATTCTTTGACCCCCCACATTGATCATAAATTGAATAAATGAAACCAGATTAGCGGGATTGCATAATCCACTATTTACAAGAACAATAAACTATGACTCTCAAAAACAAACTGTCACTATACAAACAAGTGATCAGACTTTCATTACTTTACGGTGGACCAGTTTTCCCACAGACATCATGGCAAAATAAGAAAAAACTGCGGGTATTTTAAAACAAGGTGATTCTTAGAATGGTACGTTCCCAATATTCTGTATCTCCATGGTCTTCTCCCGTCTGGGTCGTTCCTAAGAAACTTGATGCTTCTGGCTAACCCAAATGGCGCGTCGGAATCGACTACCGTAAAGTCAACGAATTTACTGTAGACGACAAATACACGCTGCCTAATATATTTCCGATCTTCGGGATCAATTGGGAAAATGTCAATATTTTACCACCCTTCTAGCCTCAGGTTTTCACCAAATAGAAGTAGACCCCAAGGATGTTCCGAAAACAGCTTATACGAATTCGTTCGTATACCCTTTGGATTGAAAAATGCCCCGTCTACATTCCAAAGAGTCATGGACAATATTCTTCTTAGCATTCAAAACGAAAGATGCTTAGTCTACATGGACGATATTATCGTTTACTCTCGTACTATCCACGAACATATTTCAAGGCTTTCCGAAATGCCTTCGTAAAGCTAACTTAAAAATCCAGCCGAACAAATGTGAGTTTCTTCGAAAAGAAGTAGCTTACCTGGGACACCTTATCACTCAAGACGGTGTAAAACCGAATCCTGTAAAAATTAGCTACCTTTAGAACTTCCACACACCTAAAAATCCAAAAGAAATTAAATCCTCTCTAGGATTAACAGTTCCCCAATTTTGCTAAAACACAATCCGGAAATACATAATCGGTTTCTTGACAAAGTTACTAACCATACTGATGACATTATTAAAAACTTATTCGACAATAACTTCACTATTAACCCTGACAGAATTACTCCTTAAAAGAAATCCCCTTCCTTCTGTTCTCATTCTTTCGTATCTTATCCCCACTCTCCCTGAACAACAAGTCAACTTTAAACACAACATAGACTCATCCATTACATATTCATAAATGTTCATAGACGTCGAAAATGCAGATAATTGTTTGGGCAGAATCGTAATAAAAGATTTCCCAACAGAACGACACCCACCTCATGAAAGAACATTGTGTTCGTTTTACAATGATTGCGTGATACGGGAAGTGTGAGTATACAAAATGTATACATTTTATATACATTAACCTTTCACCTGAGCGTGAGGATACCTGTCCATACTGGTATATTATTAGATGACAGGTAGATGTAAATGCTCTGTTCCAACCAATGAGAACCATTCTGGAACGATAATTTCCAGTTGACCAATTTATTTGTCGAGTAGAATGAATGTTCAACTTTGAAAAATAGATGAGCAACTGGAAATTACTGGCTCTGTTGGTCGGTTGGAACGCGGTTAAAAATCCCATAATAAGTAGTAGTAGAGATAAATATTTGTACAATGTTGTCACACTGTTATTATTTTCTGAATTTAAACTCTGCAATAACTCCGAAAATACTAGCAATTATTTCATGTTAAAATATTTGTACTTATACCTGATACACCCTGTATAATATACTGAGTGATCCAATCCTCTTACTCGTTTTAGTTCAAATAAGGCATTGTTTTTTTTACTCATCTATTTTTTAGCCATATAAAATCTGAATTAGATTCAATGTCAGAGAGTGAATACGATACAAAACCAACTACAATAAAATATCCAAATGTTGCAGAACTTCCATGGCTAATGAATCCGGGAATATCGCGCAGGTACCCGAACAAACCACAAACCGAATTGGACATTATGGTATCCCAAAGTAAGCTCAATCCAGAGCTATACATATGTCAATTATGTCAGAAGAATTTCAAACAAAAGCCTCATTTGCATCGTCATTTGAAATTCGTCCACGGAATTAATCGAGGGCCGAGATTACCTTGTCCCGATTGCGACAAAACGTTTAGGTCCAACTCTAATTTGCAAAACCACAAGGATAGGGTGCACAAAAATCTTGTGCCCGCAGTACTGTGCGACATTTGCGGTAAAATACTCAAAGGACATCTGGATGCTCACATAAAAGTTGCGCACACGAAACAGTTTAAATTTTATTGTGAAAGTTGCGGTAAAGGATTCATGAGTGAGGGCCACTTGAAGAGCCACAAAACTAAGCAACATGAAGAGCGATCTGAACAGTGTCTTTTGAAATGTCCCCAAGAGGGTTGTGGAAAGATGTTCAAAGGAGCACCCGGACTTCGATATCATCAAGTAGTAGCGCATACGGAAAAAAACGCAAATATTATTTGTCCTGAATGTGGCAAATCTTTTAAGCATATATGGGTATACAAAGTACATAAGAAAACGCACAAAGATAATAAAATTTATTCGTGTAAGATTTGCAATAAAGTGCTGAGTTCTAAGAACAGTTGGTTGGATCATACGAGAACGCATTCGGGGGAAAAACCTTTTCAGTGCCAGCATTGCGAAAAAGAGTTTTCCTCCATCAAGTATTTGAAAGTTCACAGTGTCGTACATACGAAAGAGAGACCACATAAGTGTAAGGATTGCGAAAAATCTTTTTCTCAAAGAGGATCATTGACTTTACATAGAAAGAAATTTCATTCATTAATAAAAAGTTAATCACATAAGTTGTTTAATTATTGGTTCCTTTTCAAGTTTCATCAATGAAAAGTAGTTTTACTTAATCTTGCTACTATTTTTTAGGTATCAACCACCAATTGAATCTCACGATCCAGACAAATCACAAATCGATATACATTCTCTAATGGCAAACAACAAGTTCGGCCCACACTTATACATTTGTCCTTTTTGCAAAAAGCATTTCAAACGTCATCAACAAATATTCCGTCATTTGAAATTCGTTCACGGAATTCAAAAAGATCCAAGACTGCCTTGTCCCGACTGCGACCAAACTCTTGTCTCCAAGGAGAGTTTGCAAAAGCATATCGAAAGGATACACAAATGTGTCACAGTCCAGTGCGACATTTGCGGTAAAGTGCTCAAAGGAAGCTTGCTCGATCACACAAAAGTGGCACACACGAAAGAGTTCAAAGTTTGCTGCGAAATTTGCGGCAAAGAGTATTTGAACGAGAGTCGGTTAAAACAACACAAGTTCAATAAACATCAAGAACAGCAGCCATGGAAATGTTCCGAAGAGGGTTGCGGACGGGTTTTTAAAGGATATTG